ATAGATCCGATCGACGTTTTCCGCTACGGCTCCGCAATGATGATCCGTCGTGTATCAGGAATATGACGCAATCAGCTGCATCAGGCCAGCTTTCGAGAAAAATTCACCCACTGAGCCTTGGACCACACCGATCTCGAAGTACTCCCCATTAATCAGCCCTCGATATATGATTCGTTCTCAAGCGGTCAAAGGCTATATCCAGTTTCGAGGCATTGTTCTCAAATCATTTCCGCTTAGTCAGCACGCTTCCCGATGCTTACATTGTTCTCCTTTGCGTCAGAAAGTCCTGTAGGGACTGCGTGACGTATCGCGACCTTTCGGCGAACTTCTGATTCATGCTCCAAGCCTTCGATGCTCGCGGAGAGCGCTTGAGAGTGCGTAGTCAAAACGAGTGCTTCACGCCGAGGCGTACCATCGAGAAGTGAGGAAACTCGCCATTGGCAACTCTGGATCGATGGGAGGGGAAAACTCCCAAAGGACCTGACGACATCCGAGAAATCAACAAGATTTAGGATCAATCTGAGCGGAACAAATCGCCTCAAACTTCAACTAGAATTCGAAGTTGAGTTTCGCGATTCGAAGGCAGGAGAGGAGTGCTTCGAAATCGCTCCCGTCAGCCAAGCACGAAGCAGGAAAGCTGCCGAGTATTTCCAGCGGCGGGAGAGTTGCGTGTCGAGTAAATTGAAGCGAACGCTGCTCATCCCGGCAATTAGCTTTTACGTTCCGAGACGACACGGCATCCTTCGGCAAGCGAGTGGAACGTTCGCACTCGGTGTATCTAGGATACGCTCGGCTATTTTTAGCCTACCGGTGGATCAGACGAAATGTCAGCTGCGGTTCGTTCTATTGTACGTATGAACTGATAAGAGCACGCTCGTGCGCCTTTCGCGAGGTGCTCGTGCGCGGCGGATCTTGAGCGTCATTTCCTATTCCGTGTGCCAAAGAGCTCGATAGTGCTCGGGGAGCGACCGCAAAATGGCTCGTCCGCGAGCGAGTGCGCTCTGCTCGTTTCGTCCTTGAGGTCCCATCACGCGGTGGCTCGCGCGCAGAGTGGGGTGTTGATGATTCAGAAGAGCTGTTCGGAGGCCGAGCGAATTAAATCGCCTGACTCTTGATTTCTCATCGCTAATTCAGAGCCGGCCCCATCGTCCGCAGACTTTTTCACTGCGCACTCGGGTCGGAGTATGAGAATTCTCCATTGGGATATCGCGCTGATTTTCTGCTAACAGAATATTCTGCTCCGTCTCCAAGGTGCGAAAGTGATATCAGGGATGAATTCACCCGGAATAATCATCGGCAATGTTATGCAATAACGAGCTGCTCTGCCGAAAGGCTTCTGAATCTGTAGAAGCCGAATATCCGGGGAGTCTCGTCAATCGAGCCGTGGTTTGGGTCCTGAAGAATGATCGGGAGCTCTCACCTTCCAGAGAATCTGTCTCAGTCGCCGATCTCGCGAGCTCTGAGCCAGATGAGTCTTCATACAAGCGACTCAATCTTAAACATGAGAGCAATCTCCCGATTATTCGGCTTCTTGTCGCTTCGGCGGAGCGTCTAGCGAAGTTGAGCTTTACAAGACCCTATCGAGAGATCGAGATGATTCTGTCGTTTGCTTTGTTGGTTTGATGGTAAGAGATTTCCACTTGAGTCCGCCGCTCCGAATCAGTGACATCGTTCTCATGATTATCTGCTCGCTGAGACGTTCCTTCCCGCTCCTCTATGAACTAGTTCATGGATCACTCAGCCTTCCCTCGGTCTGGGGAATTTTCGCGCCGAACGACTAGAAAAATGAACTAGAACACGGGGGAACACGGTGCTTGATCAAATAGGAATGTAGTTTGCTCCTCACAGAAAGGGTGTGGCGAACCTGCAAACAACCGACGATCGCACAGCCACACTATCGGAAATTGCGAAAACACGGCATTGCTCATAACAAAATCCCTTGATTTTAATATGATCACGTCGCACGTTTGGCGACGAGCTCCGACCCAGTGGAGCCAGGGCTCCGGAGAATCGACCAAGCTTCCGGAATATGCGCATGGGAACTCTCACGATTCTCTCTGGCATGGAACCGAGTAAGAATCCCCTCTCCCCTCGATGAGGATGGTTCGCTCGAAGCTACGAAAAATCCGGTTGGAGCCGAGAATTCTCATGCATAGAATATTTTTACGCGCCGTCATCGATTCATTGCTTCGATATCGTCTCTCGTCGGATACAAGTCAAGTCGGCGACCGTGGTATGAGCGGAGCAATGTTGTTTGAGTCGGTGGTTTTGCGCTCGTCATGCGAAACCGTTGTTACAGTTTCAAGGAATGGGAGCTTTACCCGCCGACCAGCAGCCGGGCCGCTCAAGCTGCCGAAGCAATGGGGGCAGGAACAGGAACGCGCCGACTAATTCAGAATTCTCGTTGAGTCCGCGACTGCAGCTTCAGTGAACCTAGAAGTCGAAGAGCTTCGCTGGCAACGGTGTCTTTGAACGCCAACGCTTCGAGGAATCCGCGAAATCCGCGACTGTAAGCTCTGCGTTAAGCTTGCGTTCTTGAGATGCCTTGACGCGGAATTCCATCGCCGCCGCTGGAACTAGTTCTCTGGTCGTTATAACTATCTTCTGGGGATCAGAAAGTCATTGAAGCAGATTCTACTGTGAGAAACGTGCAATTAGTTAGTGCGAAAAAAGTTTGTCCCTGGTAAACTTAGGCACTTGATCACTCTGATTCTCCTGAGGATTTTTTCTTCTGTACCGGTAGCCGCTCACTTCCGAGTTTTGGAATGAGAAACTGATGGACGGTTTTCTGGAGTTTGGGAAAAGGGTGTCTTTCGCTCAGTCGTTGACGCCATCCTTCGCCTTCGGCTTGTTTTAGAACTAGCTCAATATTTTGCAGAACGGACCCTCCGCTGTCAAATGAGGCGGATGTTGTTTTCTTCCTTCCCGATAAGAAAAGGACACTTTCGATCCGACCTCTTGTAGGGCGCGGTGCTCAACAAGGCCGATCGTATGGAAATTCGTCGACACGCAGAATGGAAGTTGTTTATGCTGGTCATGCTCCGGATGTTTGGTCCGAGATCGTATCCTTACTCCGATGTGTATCACCTTTCGCTCAAGCCAGGGGTCCCGAATGGGTATCTCGAAGCGTGGGTCGATGCCGCCCGGCTTCAATTGATCGTCGGTTCTGATACATGAATAAACGATCGCTCACAGCCCGGGGTCTCGACTCGAGCGATGGATCGTCCAGCCGGTGGAAAATTGAATAATGTTTCGGCGTGGTCCCTCCTGGGCTCTGAGGCATCGAAATCGGGGGACGGCATGGAATTATAAACACTCAACGCAGCCGAACAGGGGAAACACTTCAAGCGAATTCTCCCCAGCGCAATATAAGCGCTCCCGTGAATGCCTCCATTCATCCCTTTACTCACGTGCTCATTCATTTCGTTCCTCCACTACCACATTAGCTGTGAGCTCGTTCAGCTGCGAGTCTTGTTCGCTTGCTTGCTCGCTACCTCGCTCCGCTTCTGGAAGCCTTTGGCTCTAGTATCTTCGAAAGCGATACGCTCCAGAGCTGCTGCTACCGCCGCCGCCGTCGCCGACAGCTGATCCCGCGTCGTTGAGGCGAAGTGGGTCACAGATCTGACTGACGGTATTTTACCGCACTAGGGGGTGTTTGACGACGATTGTAGCACCAGAGTCCCGCTAACCATGTCGCCATTCGACGGTAGTTTGCGCCGAAGCGACTTTATCCCATTCGGAGCAATCTTCCTATGGTCGAGCCCCTTGATGTAGAGTGCGCGCTCCGAGTCTCCCCCTCATGCGAGTATCACGGAGAGCTTCAAGCTGAAACCCACGGGGAGCCTTGCCCTGAACGGGCGATACATGAGTGAAAGCTTGAAGTGTTCCAAAGCCTGAGAGTCACGAGTCTTGAGGGAAGTCGTCTCGATTATGACATCGTCGCGTCGTGGCGCAAGAACGGCGTTCTTCTCTCGAGAACGTCGTTTGTTGTCGAATAAAACTGTCACAGCTAACGGATCTGGAAGAAAGTCGAACGGGAGGAAAAGGAAGTTTCCATTGAATCGCTTCGAGTGATGGGATGTAGCGTCCGTGCCCCGGCTGTGCCAGCTGATGCAGCTGGAGCTGGCTCTGGTCGCTTCTCCCGAATAGAAGCACAGCGTCAAAAGAACTTTGGCCTTGATCTTCATCGGGCTATTGTTCTTTGATGTGGACGTCAACATTGCGAAAACGGGAGAGCGGTACCGATTCCGAAGTGCAAACCCATATTCATCGCCATCCAAGGGTTATTTGGAAATTCCGAGGAGTTTCTCTATTCTGCTCCCGCTTCTCCGGCTTCTCGTAGTGGCAAGGCCTAAGTGGACTTCCACCGACCGGTATTGGATGTTTTATTTTTCTCCGGTCGGCTATTACATCGAGCGTCTCCCGTGCGGGTTCTATGCGGCGGCCTGCCTCCGACAATTCGACATGTTAAGGAAGATAGCCCTCCCAGGAAACAGCAATGATCTACGAACAACAAACGTGAACGACGTCTACGATGGTGGCAGCAGTGGCCTCTCTCGGAACCTTCGTAGAGAAGAAAACGTCTACGGCGCCGCTCGAAGGGAGGGGATCGTACGTTTTACGTACGTACGATGCGGTCGCGGACGCCCTGAGCCACTTTGAAAGCCATTTATCGGATCAGCCCGAGGAAAAATTACGTTCGGTTTGACAGCGCGAGAAACACCCTCATTCCGATCGCCATATTCCGCTTCGAGATCCTCGAATCGGAGAAAAGCTCACTGTCGATCGAGCTTGCACGGATGTCGCACACAGAAATTGAGACGAGAAAAACTGTTGGAAATGAGGAAAACACCAAGCACCTACTCCATTCCATCCCCTCCTTTCCCCGCCCGATCAATTTTATGAACCGCCGAGTTTCTCCCGAATCCAGGTGGACTCACAGCTTTTGAGAAGTCTTTCCGCCGAGGCATCGTCACTTAGAGCGTTTTTCTTCTTTCCAGAGCAAAGTCTCGGGACAAAATGTGTGGTCGAAATGGAACAGGGTCAGACCATCCTGTACAAGAGCTCCGCGACGAACCATCAGCAGCCAAAGGTTTGTGTCATTCTCGGAATCGATCATGAGTCCACCGAGTGAGTCTCGATTTCGAGCGAGTCTGCCTCCAGCCCTCTGAGCGGAAGCGGGTCGTTTCCGAATGGACCTGTGGCCGACTATAGCTGATAGAGCCTGAGCTGTTGTTGCTATACCCGACGCCTGTAAAAAGCCCCCGGATCAATTTCTTTGGCCGAAGTGGACAGGCGGATCACGGAAGCTGTCGAGCGCTCCATTAGAGCATGAGAATTCTTGTTTTCTCCATGATCCTCCCTCGCTCCCCCTAGATATCGGCGGATTATGGGATTGTCGTCGAATGGCCGTCCATGTGTCTCCTTGTTTTTTCCAGACCTTCGCGTTCGATCATTGCTTCTGGTCTTACAATCCGGACGATTCTCACTTCGCATCACAAAAGGATGTTTACCACGATATCGGAACCGCCCTGCTCGACAACGCCATCGAGGGCTACAATGCGTGTATATTCGCCTACGGCCAAACTGGTTCCGGTAAGTTCCTCGTCGACCCGGATCGCGCGTACATTCATTCATCACCGGTTTTTTTTTCACCCCTTTTTGTTGACTGATTCTCTGACGTGCGACTTGCAAACGGATAGCTGAGTAGTTCGAATCAGGCAGCCGGTTCTCTCCTGCGGGAAATCGGGACGGAGCTCTCGCCTCCGGTGTACTTTAGATCATAGTCAACTGATCGCCGTATTCGATCATCCAGGGAAATCCTACACGATGATGGGCTGCAAAGACGATAAAGGATTGATTCCTCGCTTGTGCGACGATCTCTTCGAAAGAATAGCCAGCAACGATGACTCGAACGTCAGCTATAAGGTCGAAGTTTCCTATATGGAAATCTATAACGAAAAAGTCCATGATCTTCTCGACATCAGCGGCAGCAAACAGCAGCTTCGAGTTAGGGAGCACAACATCATGGGTGAGTTCCACATGGGGTCGGATCGGCTAAGCTGCGGATCTACTCCTGGCTTCGAATTTTTTTATGCCTCGACTCGAGGACATATCGCACGAAACGAGCCCACCGAGAGAAATAACTGCGGCTCGATAAGTGCCGTCGTTGTAATTCGATGAAATACGTGATCAGAATAACATCCTGGTCAAGGATGTTCTTCGATTCGATTCGACGAAGACTCCCGAGCTGAGCCGAGACGTGGGTTTGAGGATGCTCGGCTCCGACCCGCAGGTCTCAACTTGTTCCATTTCGGGAATGTCGGAGGAGCGAACGATGTCTTTTGTAATTAATGAGCCACGTCCCTTCCCCCTATGGGTATTGATCACGAATATCCACGTATTCCATGAAGGCCTTGTCTCAACGGATTTTTTCCCCGCCAGGAACCTATGTCGAGAATCTTTCCAAACACGCCGTTACCTCATACGATCAGATCAACGAGCTCATGGCTCAAGGCAACAAGAGCCGAACGGTAGCCTTTACGAATATGAATGCCGAATCTTCGAGATCGCACGCTGTTTTCAACATCACGCTTACTTGCACGATAAACGATCCGACGACGAACTCGCAAGGCGAGAAAATGTCGAAAATGAGTCTGGTAAGTCCCTCTCTATCGATCACCTTAGCAATCCCTACCTGGAACTTATCGTTTCGATCCCGATCACGTTCCCGGATAGCGAGAGTCGGATTTCAAGACGTGCGCCATGTTTTCAGGTCGATTTGGCCGGCTCTGAACGAGCGACGAAGACGGGGGCCGTGGGTGATCGTTTGAAGGAAGGCTCAAACATCAACAAATCCTTGACGACCTTGGGAATGGTCATCTCGAAATTAGCCGAGGGCAAAACGTCCAGCCAATTCATCCCGTACCGAGACTCGGTCTTGACGTGGCTCCTCAAGGATAAACTCGGAGGCAACTCAAAAACCGTCATGGTCGCGACGATAAGTCCCGCAGCGGACAATTACGAGGAGACGCTGTCCACGCTACGGTACGCCGACCGCGCCAAGAGGATCGTGAACCACGCCGTCGTCAACGAAGACCCCAACGCCAAACTCATCCGACAACTGAAACAGCAGGTCGAGGAGCTGAAGGCCCGACTGATGCAAGCCCAGAGCGCGGATGTGTCGGCTCGGCTCGAGGAGAGCGAATCGTTGATGAAAGAAATATCCCAACCGTGGGAGGAGAAAGTCAAACACACCGAGCAGGTCCACATCCAGCGGCAGCAGGCGCTCGAGAAAATGGGAATATCGGTCGAAGCCGACGGTATCAAGGTCGAGAGCGACAAATTCTATCTGGTCAACCTGAACGCCGATCCCTCGCTCAACGAAATGCTCCTCTTCAACATCAAGAAAGAACGAACGCTCGTGGGACGGCCCGAGCTCGAGCGACCGAACGTCCAGCCGGACATCCACCTATTCGGTATCGGTATCCAGAACGAACACTGTAGTCTGCTCATCGAGAACGGTGAGGAGCTCTGGATCGAACCGATCGATGGTGCGCGAACCTGTGTCAACGGCGTGGTGGTCAGCGAGAGACGGTTACTACGGAACGGTGACCGAATTTTCTGGGGAAATCACCACTTCTTCCGCGTCACGTGCCCCCAGAAACAGTTGTCGGCCGAGCAAGTTGCCCAGAAGTCGACTGAGCCGCCCATCGATTATCAATTCGCTCGGGAGGAACTCATGCTCCAGGAACTTTCCAACGATCCCATCCAGACGGCGATCGCCACCCTCGAACGGCAGCACGAAGAAGACAAGAACCTCGCTCTGGAGAAACAACGCCAGATGTACGAGAAGCAACTTCAGATTCTCCGCGAACAGATGTCACCGACAACCCCGTACGCTCCGTACGTGGGTCTGGAACGAGCTGCGCAGGAAAGTTGGGCGAAGGAACGGGATCATCTATTCAAGGTTAGCCTCGCAAAACTTCGCGAACAAACGGCGAGCGCCAACGACCTAGTCCGTGAGGCCAACCTGCTGTCGGAGCAGCTCAATAAGAACACGGTGTTCCGAGTGACGCTGCAAATTCCCGCGGCGAATCTTACGCCCAACCGAAAGAAGAGCGCGTTCGTGTCCGAGCCAGCGATTCTGGTTTCGCGGCCAGGTATGAGTTCGCAGGTCTGGTCGATGGAGAAACTCGAGAACAAACTGATCGACATGCGGGAGCTCTTCAACGAGAGCGGCTCTTCGCTTCCGCCCAACCCCGAGCTGCGCACAGATCTGGATCCGTTTTTTGAGTCCCAGGAAAACCACTCGCTCGTCGGAGTGGCCAACATGTTCCTCGGAGCGGTGTTCCATGATGTCAAGCTGGCTTACCAAGTACCAATCATCAGCCAGCAGGGGGAGGTGGCGGGTCGGCTGCACATGGAGATCTGTCGAACTCAGGGCAGCCTGGATCGCGTGGCCGACTGCTGTTCTTCCTCATCGTCTTCGAACAACGAGCGCTCGACGACCAACTCTTCCAACAACAACAACAATAATTCTTCAGCGCATCCGAACGCGTCTGCCAGCAGCACGACAGCGGTCGCTAACGGAGCCGCCGGCCAGGCCGCATTGGAGACGAGCACGACGTCGGTAGACGGAATGACCGCATCGCAACGCTTTGTCCGCATCCGGGTGACCATCAAGGAGGCCACCGGAATTCCCTCCGCGCTTTGCAACTTTGTCTTCTGCCAGTATTCGTTCTGGGGCAACAACGTAACCGTCGCACCCTTGGACGAAGCCCAGGACGCTCCGGGCGGGGGGACTCACCACAATCCACCGAAGATCCCTCCGTCGACATCATCGTCATCGAATTCATCTTCGTCGTCATCATCATCATCATCCTCATCAGTCATACGCTTCGACCATACCAAGGAATTCGATCTGGCGGTAACCGAGGACTTCGTGGAGTATTGCCTCGAAGGCGCGCTCAGCGTCGAGGTGTTCGGGCACACAAGTTCCGGATTCTCCAGCCAGCCTAAGCAGCACATTGAGACGGAAGAATCGACCAAGCAGATAGTATGGTAAGCTCTGACTCTTTTTTTTTGCGAATTCGAATGTCAATCCATTAGGGAGCCTGAGTTGGCGGAAACTGAGCTTGGACATCGGGCGAGCCGATCTAGCATGCGATGAGCATCGTCACTCGCGCGTACTCTACCGGTCTTCAACTACATACCTATTCATTCATCTATTTCTTTGTCTATTAATTTGTTCTACCGATGATGATTTTATATGCTTGGCCAGTCGATTTTCGTCTTTTCTCCGTATGCCCCACATGGCTGCTTGGCTCTTCCGAGGCTCCGAGGGAGCGTTGATCAGAGTGTAACTTGTGGTGACATGCTATGCGCTCAGCTTCTCACAGCTAAAGCTTTGCTTGCCTCCATTACTATTATTATCACTATTATTTATACGTTTCGACGCTCTTCCAAAGTACCGAGGGTGATTCGTGTCCGTTGGATCACTCCGTCACGACCAGATCGGAGATTTTGATGGAGCTCGGTAATCATGCGGAGCTTGTGGACTCGGAACAAGCACCCGTAGACTCGCCGCCCTCGTCACCGACTCCCCGCTATCCGATGAAGGCGATGAGCGCCCCTAGGCCGATGATCGATTATTCTCAGCGTCCGTCTTCTCCGATGTTCCGAACGTCGTGCGGATCTTCGCCGAACGGGGCCTTCGGTGCGATCATCTTAAATCCTCTCAGAGCTTTGTTCCAAGCCCTAGTACACGGTCCTCTTTGGTTCATAAACCAGGCCGGTCAAGAGGTTGCTAAAGGAGCCCATGAGAGGAAACAGTTCGAGGAAGCGGTTAAATTCGTCAGGTTGGTCACTTCGTCGTGGAAAAAGGAGAACTCACTCTCATTGCCTCTGACCCGATCATAAGGGGCCAGAGGGCACATTCCGAGCACTTCTACTACTGCACCATCTCACCCGATTCACGTCTCACCCGACTCACCCTCTGGAGATCCAAGATGAGCACCCGCTCGATGCATGGCATGATTGGTTTCCACATATGGAAGATCCGAGGTTGATCGCCGGAACAAGCTCGAGCAACGAGTGCACGCGTGATGCATGCGACCCGCGAGTTTCCGCGAAGAAAGAAACTGCACGCGTGAATTATGAGAGCCGCTTGCGGACCCGACTCTCATGAATTCCGGCGCGGCAAAATGTACTCGATCGCTAACATCACCGAAATTCTCAAATTAGGCCATCAACTAATCTAAGCTTATCATCAACAGCAAACAAAACGGTCACCTCGGGGGCAACGGAATATCGCTTGGAGTAGGAAGCGAACACTCACTCGCCGCCCGTTGGTGTGAGTTGAAGCGGAAGTTGGAACTGTGGCTGGAAATCCATGAGCTCAATGAGCAAGGAGAGTACGCTCCGGTGGAAGTCACTCCTCGATCCGACGTGGCCACCGGTGGCGTTTTTCAGCTCCGGCAAGGACAGCAGCGTCGCCTCGTGGTATCCGTCTCGGCGGCGCCGAACTCAGGAACGCTTCCTCTCAGTTGCGAGGCGATAACGCAGGTCTCAATCGGAGGTCTCTGCGCCCGCAAGATTGCGCTCCAAAAACCACTTGATTCCTACCAAGACGACGATCTCAAAACTCTACGGGACAAGTACGTTGCCTATCAACCGTTCTCAATGCACATCAAAATACCTTATGGATGAAATCCTGGAAAAGATGGTTGAAAGAAGAAATCTTTAGAGAAGGAAAAATTGAAATCTCCGGAGAATGGGGGAGCCCCAATGATCCCATCGTTGTCTAACGATGGGTTTGATTCCCTCACAGGTGGGTTGCGGTGTTGGACAAGCGCAAGCAGTACCTCCATCAGCAACTTGTCAAAATGAGCGCCAAGGAAGACAAGAACGAACAGGAAACTGAGCGGGAGCGCCAACTCTTGGAACAATGGATGCGCCTTCAGGAAGAACGTGACGCGGTGTACACCCCGCAGCCCGGCTCCCAAGTTCCGGGTGCGCCTGCCGAAACCGAAACGTCCTTGAGCCTTACCGGAATGGAGCACCACACTCCTGTGCTCTTCCTCGATCTCAGCAACGACGACATGAATTTGCAACCAGCCCAAATCCCCGGCGCCAACTCGATTCTCTGCAAGGAGCTGGGCAGCGCACAATTCCCGCTGCCCATTGTGCGCGGGGAGGACAACCGCGTCGTCGTAGCGTGGGACTCATCGATCCACGATTCACCCCTGCTGAACGCGGCCACTAATCCCCAAGACCGGATTTATTTGATTCTCAAAGCCAAGGTGCGCCTGTCGCATCCGGTGTCTATTGATATCATCCTGAGGAAGCGCTTCGCGATCAATGTTTATAAGAGGCAGACGCTAACCGAGAAGATACGCAAGAGAATCTCCGGATCGCCCAATTTATACCGCTCAGGTAGGTTGGCGCTGATCTCGCTCCAGAATAGTTATCATCGTCAGAAAACGGGCGATGTACCGCCGTATTCTCGACACTGACTCGGAATTTCACAGCAATTGGTCCGGTGTTCAATACTCAGCTGCTTCCAGTCAAGACTTGCATATGCTCTTTTTGCAGGGGTGACGTACGAGATCGTAGGATCCATTCCGAAAGCATGCGAGGACTTAGAGGGTCGCGAAACGTTAGCGCTCATGGCTGCCCAAGGCCTGGACGATGTTGCTGCCGACGGCGAATCGTATATCGAAAAATACACCAAAGTTGTTATTTCTGTCGAATCCATCCTCAATCTCGACAAGCTCCGACAGGATGTAGCCGTCAAAGAACTCCTGCATTCCCAAGGCAGACCGATCCGCAAAACACTCTCGGTCCCCAACATAGCGCAGGTGGGTGATGACCTCGTTTGCAATTTTCTTCTCTGAAGGTTTTCGATGGGGAATACACGGATAAAAAAGCCTCTGCCTCGTGATGACTCGATGATAAACCGCCCATAAATACTATCCATTCATTATGATTCGTGATCCATCGACATCGGAAATTTCCGAAGCATGGATGACGATTGGCAGCTCACAGATGGAATAATAATTGTTATATGTATTTATATGTATATCTATATCTGCATTCCCTGGAATTCATACAGCTCCTTCTCGAAGAGTGAGGGAATCTCTCCAATCTCCCTCCTCATCTGTGGAACTAATGAGATCTCCCCTTGCAGAGCATGTCTTCCAGCATGACATCTTCGATGTTAAAGCAGAACCTTATGTCCTTGTCTATGTACGACGAGTCGACGAGCAATGGAGTTCTTGCCAACGCTTACCAGAACGGCAATGGAACGCTGTCTCATAACTCATCTTATGGAGATGGCCTGGACAAGCTGAAAGACGCCGCCAATGTCATGACCGGTACGTGGATCGCTTGTCTCTACCCTTCGAAATTTTGAATCTCAGCTGCGAACAGTCTCTTGGAGCTAGAACCGACGAGTTCTGCATTCGATGTCTCTCACACGGAAGTTGCGCAGTTCCTATCACAGAGCGAATTTCAACAATTTTCCCCCGGGAATCCATTTCGTCGTTCTATGGTTCCGGGCTCATTCTCCGTCACGAGGTAGTCCGAGGTGGAGACGAGTAGCGGTTGCAACATCCCACCTTGTACACCTCACGCCCCGTACCGTCGTAACGTCGCTTCCCGGGCGACCTGGAGATGGAAACGGACGCATAACTCACAGGAATTTTTCTATGCACGCTGCCTATTCACACCACAATAGGAGCTGCCTGTCGACCAACTTTCCTGAACTTGAATTTTAACCTCAACCACAGACAGTCTTCTCTGAAACGTAAACCAAGGCTTGACCTGATATTATTAGGATTAGCGTCGAGTTATAGCTACCGGCATGAAACTCCATGCAGTATTGGGAACGACTCGAGATTTCTGATCAGGACATTCTACGGACTCATTCTTGATCTCTGACGAACCCCATACGCTTCCAGATTCTCCTGCGACCTCTGCTTTAGTTGCCCAGAAGCTGAAGCCTCTCCGACCGCTGATTGAAGAGAATCTGGAATCGATTTCCATTCTCTCTCAATCTGATCATGAGGATGACGAAACAATGATCCGTCGATCGAACACCTCAGACAGCATCGAGCGTGAGTTTTATAAGCATTATATTTGAGATGTATCATCCGATTGCCAATTGGATGCTGGTGATCGCGGATGCTCACTGAAAGCATTCAAATAATTTCAGCAAAAAGCCTAGTTTCGAGCGGATATGGGTCGCAGGCACTCTCGACGGAAGATTCGCCTACGAGATGAATATCCGAAGGATGCACAAACGACATAGATCCCCGGGAAAAATTCACGGACGAAGCGGATAAACTCGACACACCCAGAAAAGCGGCGCGCACTGAAGCTCTAGCGACCGGATACAGCGCCTAGATGAATATTTCGACAATTACCCAGCCGATTGGTCGGCTGCTGCTCATGCGAAAGGAACGGTGGCCCCCAGGAAAGAAAATTATTGATTTCCCCATGCGGATAGCGGATATATACCTACGTAACGGTACGGTGGAGACTTTTCACGAAAGAACCATCGGAGACGGAAAAAACTCCTGCCGTAGTAGGATGCGGTGCAATACACGTTTGGTACGCAAATATACTTAGTTGGAGTACTCCTGATGAGATCGCGACGCTTTGTCAAGGTTTGTGAATGAGGAGACGACGAGGTGCGACGCCTATTGCGGAACACCTTCGAGTCGCAGGTTGTGCTAGGTTGTCCGAAAAGACTCGATCGACTCGGGTCGGGTCGATTTTCACATTTCTTCGACCGCGAGACGGTTCATTTCTTTGCGGACGTTCGGACAGTGCTATCGTGGTACAAACAGGAATTTGCGTCGTTGCCGCCCTCGCTTTAATTCAACAGTGGATGGAGTTCCCGTGGCTCCTCCGCAGTGATCCTCGACGAGACGATGCACTCCCAGATGGATTTCGCGTTATTCTTCGGGCCGATATTCAGGTCATGGGCGTGTCTAGAAACTATATTCCCGATTGAGCAAGAGAGATATACGGGTTGCGAATGGTTGTGCTATTCCGAATGGAGCTCTAACTTACAACCTACCTAAATTCATGTAATGTAGTATGTACTCTGGTTTTGCAATGACAACGGTGATGATAGAGACAATTTTACCAATCACGACTGAAAAACAAACAATGTGCAACACCTAGGAAGAACTTTAAGGTGAGCCTCCGGGCTCCGAGGATTGTTTGAAGTCCGTAGCGAAGGTTCGTGTTTCTCTTATACGCTACACGCTTTGTGCATAGAATGAATCCCTTGTTGATCATATTGGTAGATTGGAGCGGATCATATTTGCATCCAGATAGCTAGGTAGTGGGCTGGATTCTGAGAAAGGTCATCGTGCTCGCTGACTGCGAGAACTGACTCGAATGGGGCCGATTCTCGATGCTGGTGCACCAGCCGATGCACATGAAAAATCACGATCGCCTCCCGACGCATTCTGATATAAATGCTGCGAGGCGATCTGCTGCACTCTACCGAAAGCTTCGCACGCACGGCTGCATATACAGTTTAATGGAGTTCATGAAGATAGAGGGATATCATGATAACGATAGGATGAATCGAAACGTGTTGTGAGGGGTTGCCCCACTCGTGGAATATCCGTCGTCGAACGCGGCAGACTCCGACGCGGACAGCATGAGGATTTGAGATGACGATATGAGATTCATTGAATATGATAGGTGGTTCCCTCGTGCAGATATCTTCCAAAGTTTCACCCGGAGATCATCCGGAAAAAACGCATGCCCATTGTTGTGACGGGTAGATAATTCATGAAGAATAATGCCCTATGGGGAGAAACGTCACTGATTTCCGTTGCTCAGCCGAGTTGTGGCCTCCTGGGAGGATTGAGATTTCCGATTCGTTCAGCGCTTACGAGGGAGCGAAGGGTGCTTCGTCAACGGAGTAACTCCGTTGCGGGACTCCTCCCCGAATCCTCACTGCATTCATATATTTCTTACATTCTCCGGCTTGAATCCTTGCGAAAATTTCCACTTGATTGGAACGGGGAATCATCCTCGATCTCTTCCGATTATTCTCCCGGGAAGATCGGAGAAATCAATTTGACGTCATTCGGGTCAATCTATGCTTATTTGAAGATATTTGTGATAGAGCTACAAATCTGAGATTCCGATGATAGAGTTTTCTCTCGCAGAGGACGACTCAATGCAAAAAAGGAAGCGAGCGGTGCGAGCAAAGTGAGCAAAACTTTGTGGCATCTCCGGAAAGTTCCGGAGATCCGTCTGCATTTTTCCTGTTGAATTTTTGACGTCCCCACATGAGGTGGGATAAACGTCGATCTGAGAAAGCATTCAAAGATAGAAAATGACGAGTAAAAGTTCTCATTAAGTCTCAGCAACCATCACTGTGTCTTCAATTCGTCTGCTTACTTACAGATTTTGGATCGGAATTCCGCAATTCCGGGGTAGGATGGCTCGGTCGAGGGGTGTAGAGGGGAAGAAGAGGTCGGTACCAAGTGTAACCGTATAGCTCTCTCGAAGCGAGAGATTTTTATTCCTCCTCCACGACTTCCGCAGCCCTGAGTCCTTTTCAACTGGACCCCAATTATACCCATCTTACACTCTTATGGTAGAAGGACAAAGTCAACTGTACACGACGAACAAAATTCTCGTTATTTTCTTGCGACCGAAAACAACTGTACAACGATGAAAGGTGATGCCTCAGTTTCGCAGAATCAGCTTCCTCTGTGCCTTGATCTGCGTTCTTTCCGCCATTTTCTCGTAATACTCGGCGAACACATTCTTCATCATGGGATAGAGGTGAGGGAGTATGTAGAGATTTTTTGGGGCTACCTGCATGAAATCGAAGGCAAGACCCACGCGTCTTTCCTCGAAGATGCTCTCTGCGACGAGCGGCAGTTTGCTGTAACGCTGCGAGAAGTGCGTCAGGATCGTGAACTTCGCCTTCATGTCCTTCCCGACTTGTATCGCTTGTGACGTCGTTGAATGTTTCTTGGCCTTCGCGTCTTCTTCTAGATCGTCTTCCATTGTGGCTTCGTGTATGAGCAAGTCGCAGCCTTCGCCGATTTCGATGAGTTCGGGAGACGGACGTGTGTCTCCTGAATAAACGATACTATAGTCTCCGGTGTCTACGCGGATCCCGTAGGCTTCGGGACAATGAATCACTTTACAGGTTGTTATCCGCTCCACTGAAAATTCGGAGAAATAACCTTCCGGATGCAATCTGAGGTTATACAGATTACTCGAATCGATGAAACGGCATCCTACGCTTTCGAACGTTGAAGAATATGACCCCAGCCAAGCAGGGAGGAAAGAGGGTGCGAAGACCGGCAACCTGTCACTTAGACCCAGCTCTTTCCGCTTCACCAGGACACCGATCAGTCCCAGATGATGGTCCGCATGGATGTGTGATATGAACACGAATTTCAAGTCCCTCAAGATTTTCTGAGCTTCAGCTTCACCGAAAGCTCGAACTAGCTGACTCGATGTAGCTTCACCGCAATCGAGCAGGAAAGCCGCGTTCTCCGACGATTGAACGAGAATGGCAGACACATTGCGGGTTTTTGATGGCGTACAACTGCCGGTGCCGAGGAATGTCACCTTCGGGTATTCGCGGTGATCGGTGTTCTCTATCGATTCTAGACGTTTCTTCAATTCAGCGCGAATCTCGTGGTATCCTGTGTACTCCTCAGTTTCTTTGATGACGCTCTCTATAGACGTTTCTTCTAAAGGTTCGTTCTTTTCCCGGTGACGGAACGTGATTCCGTCCATCGGGTAAACTTTCTCACCGTCATTCGCCGGCAGCAGTGGGAAAATCTCCTCGTTGATGAGATTCAACTGAGCAGAGATCCTGACAGCACCGGGACTGCAAGCAGTTGTGTTCTTCTCACAGAGATGTATATGCCCACAAGTGTCCGGGAAATGATTCAAAAAGTCTTGGTACTTCGCCGATGCATAAACGTCGCTTGGAGTCATGTGCACCACGACAGAAGCGAGATACTTTTCATCTGATCCAGGACGATCCTGATGCGCCTGAATTTTCTCTGAGGCCACCAGCGAGTCCACGTAATCTTCCGACGGACATTCGAGAATTATTGAAACGGTTCCCGGTCGAGAGCGACCGACTACGTCTTGCGGGGTCACGACGGTGCCGTTCTCCAGAGTGATCGTTTCCCCTGACTTGATTTTACTGAATAATGGACCCACCGGTATGCCTAATTCGACGCATTTGCTCAGATTCAACCCCCCCACGTAATCTTTGCCTCTACAGATGAAAGCGTAAACCTCATCAGGGGAAACGAGGCCGTCGGTTTTCTGTGACGAGCTCACCAGTCTGACTCGCTTGATGCTAACCTGGCTGTCCTGGTAGAGGTCTTCGTCGTGGTAGTCGACCGACAGAAAGTCGACCTTGATCAGTCGCTGAGCTGATTCGATCAATCGAACCACCCGCCGAGAGCCATGAAAATTCATCGCTAAGAGACCCATCGATTGCGCGGTCAAACAGTAGCCGGGAAGACCACCGATGTTTTTCCATGTTGGTGAGGTGAAGAAGAGGTTCCCTGTTTTGTTCATCTTGAACCGGAGTTCATTACACAATCTTTGCGTGCCTTCACCGCAATTGAATAGGTATCCACCCCCAGGGCCGAACAGAATAACGTTGGCCGGGTTCCCGGGGCTCCCGTTCCCGATGACTGCAAGCTTCAGATCACCGCCCCCAGTGTCAAGTACGGTTTTCTGCTTCTTCACAAGAGGCTCTCGACACTGCCTAGCGAGTCGCTTGAACGAGGCGCGGGCTTGGTTCTCGCTCATTTCACTGAACTCCAGCGCCGTCCGGGAAATGCACTCTATACTCCTAGGATGTAGGAGTCCTCTTGTTCTGATGCCCAGCATCCCTGTGAAGAGAACGATTTGCCTTTCAGTATGGGTGTTATACAGAGGTCGAGCTCGGAATATTCATCGGAGAGTCATACGTGTCGAACACAATGAAACAAACAGGAATGACAACTCCCGCAGTCCCCCGGAACACGGAGGAGACAAGTTCCCTGATGGGTCGGTTCTATGATCGAGTTACACAATATGAGAGAAAAGTGGCAGAGCGCATTCGATTTCCTTGTCAGGAATGTTCTCCAGCCAAACCGAGCCGTCGCGTCGGGACAAGGGCTCACTTGCGGAGACTCGTTTGAATGATGGAATGACACCCAGCGGTCACATTCCCGACAAAAGGCAGTGATGCGAGCAATGATTCGTCGGGCTTGTAGTTTATGGGGACGAGACTCAAACCGGCTGATAGAGCGAGCATGTGGACGATTCGGCTTGTTCGGGCATCATGTTCGAAGGGACCTCTCACCACAAACGACACCATCGGGGAACACTCACAGGCCTTGGACGCTTGTCAGAATGCGCAGGAAACAATCGAGACACCCGTGCGACTGAGTTGCTTCGGGATTCCTGACGCAAGAGAACACGGGTATGTGCGCGGGACTCACCTGTGCACTGAGAGAGGATGAGCATGTGGAATTCCTGGGTCATCTAGCCATGTTGTGGTACAGTCCTGGTCGCGCGTCGCGCGAAAGTGATTCATCCAAGAGCTACTTCGCGGGGCAGAGAGGTACTGCGGGTACACGGTTCATAGCTATATGCTCTCGCCCTACATAGTCTTTCTGATTCCGGACGGTATACAGTGGGAAATCGATTCCGCTGAGAAACGACTGCTGACTTTCAAATTTGCCGCCATAAGCAGCAGTCGACTAAATTGAGCAGCGCGCACAGGAGAAGAGACGTTATGGAGCTTAGCGACACCGAACGGAGAGTGCAGGACCCGGTCTAAGCGCCAAGGTCCTAAATCCTACATGATTGGATGCCTCTCAATACTCAAGCGAATGGACCCCGACTCCGGTGGAGAACTTTATCCTCATCGACGGGGAATCATGATATGGGCGGGAGTGTACGAGGATTTGCCCATGGGGGAGCTCTACGACGCTCGATCTCGGCTACTGTCCCCTGAACGGACGCTGGGGTCGAGGAATCTTCATACCAGAAGGCGCATGGATATCGATATTCATAATTCCTGCTCCAAATCCCATCATTCCTATGCTGTTCCCAGGTGATCAGCTCCTTGGCGGTGATTCATTTCGCCCCTCTCTGAGGCTCTGAAGTCCGGAAGCCTCCCGAAGGTCTCCGGGGAGCTTGAACACCTCCGCGGTACCTCGAAAAAACGGAGGGATATGTGCTGATCAAGCACGGCTACAGATTTGAGCTATGCAGGGACAGAGCTGACTTTCGTGACCAACATTCGTGGCGTCTCGGATCCCGCCTTAGATTTTCCTCAAAGCTATGATTGAATCATTTGAGGGAGCCGGGAGTGCATAACATGCGAGGAGCTTCCGCACCGCCTCGAATTAGTAATGGTTGAATCAGATAACATCGGAGACACGTGAACGGTGTCTCATTTATTCTTGAACCACCAATCTTTACTGTAGTAATGTCTCAATCCTCATCCTCATTCGCAACTTTTTTGGACTTCTTCTTCTTCTTCTTCTTGGGAGCCTCCTCCTCCATGGGCTCTACGCTCTCCTGTCCATTCTCCTTCCCATTGGGTTCGTTCTCTAACTCACTATGCTTCCTTTTCTTTTTCTCCTTCTTCTTCTGTTTCTTAGCGGCCTTGAGAGCTGCTTTAGCTTCTCCTTCGGCTTCTGTCATGACCTCCTGATTTTTACGAGGAACATCTCCCGTGTCGTAGAATTTGAGTCTCTCCTCGATTTGTTCGCGTAGCTTCTCGCCGAATACCGAGTTCGCCTCGTCGGTAAAACAGTCGATCCTAGACGCGATAGAACACTTGTTCGAAACGTAGCGCGCGATTCTACCCTTGTCCCTTTTCTGAGCTCGGCCGATAAACGTCGAATGGAACAACAGGCCATATTTCGGAGTGTTTCCGCGAGTTTTCATGGCGCGGAAAAGGGCTTTCTCGGCGCCGAGGATTTGCACTGTCGACGCGGGGTACTTTGCTAGATTGATTAATGAACCGGCCTTCGATATAAGCCGGGCTCCGATGCTCTCGCCGATGATCGCGGTCAGATTCGGCGCGATGTCATGCATCTTCAGACGCAGATAGTCCATGAGACGTTTGCGGTAGTCACTGAGCGAAATAACGCGGGATGCGAAGAGCTCTATGTTGGCCAGATCGATCGGCGAAATGTCCATTCCCATCGAAGCTCTCGCCGCATCGACGACTGCTTGAGTTTTCACCGAGTCCATGAGGAGTTCCTCAACCTTTTGCTGAACCTCTTCGTTTTCGAGGTTCTTGCGATCCTTCACCACCAAGGCGACCTGCAAACGAGAATCTTTCTCAGTTTCCATTTTCGAACAGAACGGGTGATTTCGAGACGATCATTCGCAATGAATGAATTAGTCATGACAGCTTCATGTCAACATTCCACCACATACCTTCGCATAGAGATGATTGTCGGACACGATTTTGACAAGCTCCGGATAATGATACGAGTACCATTCTCGCACTCTCATGGCGAAAATGTTGATGTCCTTGTCCAGCTGATCGAGGATAGCGATGCTCTGAATGATCATGTTGTCGACTCGGTTCACGTTGAACTTCACTTTGGAACGAGAATACGAGTGTCCGAGACCCAGCTGAGCTTTCGAACAATTGTACTCGGTGAGATCCTCAACGAGTTTCGGGAAGTGCAGGCGGATCCCTCTGAGGATTTCGGGAACGACGCCGACGTGCAGGCAACTGTAGCCGAAAGTTTCGTTCACGGTGGCTCCGAGCTTAGCGTCTCCAACACCGAGCGTGAATTTAGATTTCTTCTTCGGAAGATTGGTTTCCAGGAAGAGCTGCAGGTCTTCGTGTACGACACCCTCGGAAACTGCATTGATGTTCTCCAATGCATTGACTGCCGTTTTGAAAGGAGAGAACGCGACCAAGGAAACTATCGATGACTTGAACTTGCTCGCATCGAGAATCGCTTTCTCAACCTGAGGCAAGAACGCCGACACCTCTTCGAACTCCTTGACCGCGAACAGCGCATAGCCTGTTGCGTGCTCGAAGAGCACATGTAGAATAGGTGCCATCGGTTTTAATCGAACGCCCCGACGACAGGCGTCAAGTCACCGGAGAACACGGGAAAACTCAGCTACTTGATGTCAGCACGCGGAACCCTCGGAGATTTCAGTTTTGAAGCGCTTCCAAGCGAGAGGCCACGGGCTGCGCACGAGACGATCAACCACGTGTGTCTCTGTTCGGAGTCAAAACAAAAAGAAAGGAACATGGCCGTTCGTTTGTGTGTGGAGAGTGCATCGGATTCTTGCGCCGATTCACTCCGCACCGCCCGGGTCGGATGATCACGACGACGTCGGCTCTAGGGCGGCCACGGCAGCCAATGGCGATGGTAGCTGGCTCGGCGCGGTTTTTGAAACTGCCGTTTCCGGACTTCCATCCCGTTCCTCAGAGCTCAGAGTCTTTGCGAGAAACGACTCCGAGAACTACAGGGAGGACTGACCCGAGAATCATCAAACTCCTCCCCGCCCTCACGAAAATCGACTGAGAGGATTCTCTATTAAACAGAAAGTGCGAGCGCTTCCCTCCAGCACCTCCTTTGGGCTGATCCGCACAGCCAAGGTTTAAGGTCCCGGGTACTGTTATTCACATTGCTCCCGAGGACGGATCCATAGAACAAATGGACCCAGGAGGATCAAGGCCGAGTACTATTTCCGGCAGCAGGGATCGAAGCCTCACCGCCTCCCGCGCGAGCGCCGTCGTTGCGGCATTTCACGAAGTGAAACGCACGTTTGCACGAGTAGTGACGAAGGCGCTAACCACTCGACCACCCGTCGTCGGTCTTCCCTCCAGCACCTAGGAGCCTCGGGGTCGCCTTCATTCGGCAGCATATCGTCGTCGAGATGTGGAGGGTCATCTAAAGACTCATCGCTGGAGGGGACTTCCAGCGTGGTCCCTCAGGGAACTTAGTTCCCTGGGTGGATTGCTCCTGTGAGAGTCTCGGTTTGAACTCTGCTAATTCAACGTTGGATCAGTTCAAAGATATTCGACAGATGATGAGTGAATATCACGAAGATTCCATTCCGACGGCGCGCGACTTATGCTTTCAGACGCGGGGCTATAGAACTTTCTGCAATTGTCTCTTTTATAATACCGAACCGAGGTGGAGATCGAGTCGGATTTGCAGGATAATGACGTTGAACATTTCACGTTCCCGGGAAGAATCCGTCTGGTTCGATAGCGCGGAGCTAGAGGGATCAGATTTCCCCGGGGGGAAGGATCCCACGAGTTCTCGTCAAGGATGAACTCGGAATTGCAGGAGGACAAAGCTCGGAGTATGAGCGAGAGCTCTGAGTGACGGAATCACTCTCCCGACATAAGAAGTGATTCGCAAGCTTATTCACTGTGTCGATCGGGATCTTTCTCAGTCATCCTGCTCCAAATGAGGTGTCTGACATCGCTCGCCTGGAAAGCTTCACCGATCGCCGCTAGTCACCGTAATTCGTATTCCATAAACAGAGAAGAATTGCGCCATCGATACCATATCGGAAAACACATTCGTTGATGGATATCCAACTTCTGCGATATGCAAGGGTCTTGTTACCTCCTCTTCGGATTCTCATCTTCTCTTTGAAGGTGAACCTTGCAATTTCGGCTCACTACAGCTCGATTTTCGTGAAGCCCATGCCGCTATAACAGCTGACGCCAAGCGACATGATCTCTTTCGAGCACAGGATGTCGGAAGGAGAAGCCGCGAAATGGAAAAGAGAAAGGAGAACAAAGAAAATTCGACTCTCCTCTCCGTGAGCCTTGTACGGAGGAGCGTTCCCCGCCCCCCATTTCGGGGGCATCTGCTGGGCAGCTCTTACTTTTTTGAGTATGCGGAGACTAACACGATGTATACTCGAGGAGCCAGCCGGCGTCGGAACTCGGAACTCGTCAGAAGCCATCGCACATAGTATCCTAAATTTTTATTTAGTGTCCGCAAGATCCTTTGCACGCCGGGATGGTGATTCCGTTGAGGAGACTGTTTCAAGTACCCACAGTGGAACGATGGGACCAGCCGCGGGGCAGCAGAAAAGCGGTCTAATAGCTCAGGTGGTCCCATTGAACAGGTCGTCCAACACGGGAACGAATCGAGTCGACCCCTCCGATGTATGGTCTGATTAGTCCTCGAGGTTTACCTCGGGGGATCCCATTAGAGGGTGATCCTATTAGACAGGTTTCACTGTGATAGACCGCTGGTCCGAAGGTTACCGAGCTGGACTGTGCATCAGCGAGAGCATTGACTATTGGGATATATAGAGGCAGGTGGATCAATGGCGATGCTGAATGACTCCGGAAGGAAGTAGATTTTCGATATGCCGACTCCCGAACTCCCGACCTATCGATGGAGGGGAGTCTCATTTCCACCGCGAACAAAATAACTCTACTTGTAGAACCTTCCTCCGAACTCGTTCGCGACATAAAATTCCATCAAAACGAGGAGCTAATCGTCGCTTCTCGAATAAAAATCCCCCTGAAGCGTCTCGCGGAGGCGGACGACGGAGAAGTCGAGCTGCGCGATCCGCGGCGCATCACGGAAAACATCTAGATTTCAATCTAGATTTCGAGTTCAGTATTGGCGATGCTCTCGATCCTTCTCGCAAAGGAAGTTCCATTCTGGAAGATCCAGACAAGTTTTCGTATAACAGCCTTCGCTTCTGCCGTCACTAGATCAATCGTGTTGTATAGTTTCAAAACTAGGTCGATTCTATCGTGCTTGAGGACTCTTTTCTCCGCCGCAGTGTCTTTTGGAATGGGAGCCATCGACTGCTGTATCTGGTCGGGAACAGATTGCTGCTTCTCTGTCACTCATATCCCTCTGGAAGCGTTCGCGCTCCACGAGATCTCCGCCTTGCCGGTTGCCGCCGTACGCAGTCCCCCATAAGCCAATGGCGGACTCAGATAAAAACACGCGCGCGGCGTTCCATTGCCTCCTGCTCCTACTGCTGGGGCTCAATGCCGTTTTCTCAAACAATTAGTCTGGATACACGATCTTCACGTTCGAGCATATAATATGAGGTTCTCTCTGTGCAGGTAGTTGTCTTAGAGATCATGAATGTCGGAAAATTCCGGCGAAGGCCAGAAGACCGAAGATAGTTCACGAAGGAGCATGACGCTGCGTGTGATCATGATAGTCGGCCTGGACATCCAATCTTCCGATCCTCCTCAAACTCTTGAGCTCCCCCCCCCTTGTCGACCGCTGCTGCTTCTCTCTTTCTTGTGTTCATGCCACAAAAAGAGAGCGGCGCACTGGCCGCGCGGCTCGACTTTCCGACCGGTAGGAACTATACCTCCGTCGGTTAAGGTGCGGAAAGTGCGGACTTATTCCTGGAATTTGGCAGTGCGAGCGAGTGAGAGCTATCGATGTCTTGTGTCGAGTGGGGGAGTTGAATGTTGAGGGTAGATTCTTCGCCGGTTATTTTTGCGGATTTCGTTCGGAGTCAACGGTGCAATCCGACCGCCATGATCAGGTAGCAAAACGAACGCGTGGCTGTTGAGTCGCTCGACGTCGGTTCGAGGTCGCTCTCACATTTCGACGGAAAGCTGTCAACGCTAGTCGTGCTCAGTGTAGGCGGCGGGTGACTGGCTGCTGTTAGTCATCTCCGAGTCATCGGTAGGAGTCATTTTAGTTTTGCTATTCTATTCTCTGGAAAGGGAAGATGCTGCCCAGTTCATCCATCTGTCTGTCCGCTTCTCCGGCGGGTGTTCGCTGTCGTTCTAACACTGTACGGCATGCTGGAAGAAACGGCAAACAATAGTGACAGAGCGAACATGAGCAGTGAGCGGATCGGCAGTCCCGGGACCACTCCATGATCTGTTTGCCTGCGTCAATATCGGTTGTCAATGATTGCTGTTGACGGGAGACGGGCACCGCCTACAGTCGAGGATGAGGTGTTACTTCCTTCAATGCTACACCTGCGTTTCAGGTCTGTGCCTGGAGATGGGTTCCGTCTCCGTAGTGCACTCTGGCTGGCTGCAGAAGATGCCTCATGCCACTCATACGTTCTCCAAATGCCGCCGGAGATGGTTTGTTCTGCGAACGAAAGAAGACAAGTATTTGCTAGAGTATTTCAACGAACCATCGTCGACGAAAGCCAAAGGTGAGCTCTCCGCAGCCGAACACTTCCCTAATCGATCTGCTTCTAGTAACGTTTTCTCGGAAAAACCCGTAGATCTTATTTTAGTTCCGACCCATGTAAATAGCAGCGACTTCCGCGTGAAGTTCGGCAGATCAGTCGCGAAGCATCGTAGATCCTCCGGACAACTCTGGCACATTAGAATCTGTTTGCGAATTCTATCCCCTGAGAAGCCATGATAGCTCCGAGCTATCACTCCCTCATCCTACTCCGGAAATCGATCTCCCTTTTTGAGTTTTGTTCCGAGGGTGTTGCTTTGATGTTTTACATCCCAGCCGTCGATGTTTTCCATCAGAGAAAACGTCTCCTTGGCTTGTCGGCCTCTAAGGTCGCGCACACTCCGGTTATTGGGCGGCTCTCGCTGTTTCGTTCGGTCGTTCTCTCGTTTATTGGCCCTGCGACTTCGCTGTCGCTACGTGAGTTTGTTTGTGTGCGGGAGAGTTCGTTTTTCTGTGTCGCTTCCCTCGAAGCGGCGCCGAGGACCTGTTGCCTACTTAGCCTACTTGTTTGCTGCTCGACCCACTTAGCGCTTCGTGATTCGTGATCTGAGATTCGAGCGATGTATTCCCAATAACCGAGAAATAGGATTCTCCGTGATCCACCTATCCCGTATAGTAAATCTAACGCCGTCTGGCATGGGATAGTTTCACCGGCTCGCTCAAGAGAAACTTGAGTCGCGAAGATTCTGGGCAATATTTCTCCCATCTCTCGCCGGTATTTCCGACAAGTGCGGCGTCTGGAGCGAAAGTTTATTCAAGGCTGCTCGAGTGAGCGAATTCCCTGTCACGAGATTCTTGGGAACAAAAGACCGTGGACGTTGTTATAGAAACACCGCAGCGCTCTCCTGGTCCATGACTTTCGCCGACCGGCTTGCGTTCCGAGTGAATTACGCAGACTCCATAAATACCGTCTGAGTTTACTCTACCCGACTATTTGCGAGCTCTGGATCACCCTTTGCGAAGCGCTCCATCATTCATTGTGTTTACCCGCAAAGTAATGCGCTTTGTCTGGAACACTGTTAAGGCATGCTTCCCAGACTCTTCGCCGGGAGATCAGACTTGGCAAAATACAGACGGCTTCCGGGTCCACTCCTGGAGAAGATAAGAGAAGCATATTGTTGAAGCCTAGAGAGGGAGCTGGAATAAGAATGGAATTAATCCCCTGCGAATCTAGACATCATAATCTATCGAGCAAAACTGAGCTCAAGCAACTCGTATTTCTTCCAGGAAGCATTGATCTCTCGCAGTGTAAGGGAATCACACCGGAAGGAGAAACCCGGTCGAAGCATTTCAGTTTCATTTTGAAGACGAGTGAGAGACAATACAATCTCAGTACAGATTCATTCGAAGACTACAAGATCTGGATCGGTCGGATATGCGACGCTGGAGGTATTTTCTACATTCCTTCCTATTCTATTTATTTTTATTTATGCATCTTTATTTTTTCACGTTTCTCTCCGAGGGGAGCTCGAGACCTATAATTTCTGACTCCCGGGGTGATTACCTTTCGAGTACATAAACCTCCTCTGCTTCCAGGTGTGCCCAATCCTCTCCCTCAAGCGAAACGAACTCCGGCGCCTCTGAAGATACCACCACAAGAGAGCGGCGGGTCTCTAAGCAGCGGACCCCGGACAGCGGACAGCAAAGAGACCTCTCCCTACATCCCGATTTCGGAATGTCGGACTGGGACCAAATGGAATCCGGATCGGACCTCACCGGATCCGAATATGGATGACATGCGACGGATGGAGATGAACAATAACCTCGCCGCGCGCCCTCCCGCACCGACCCGAGAAGTTCATCAGCAGTTTAACTACGACGTACCGCGAGCCGATGTTGGAGCTTACTCGGTTCCGAAGCCTTTGGAGTCGAGCACCTACAGTATCCCGCGTTCGATTTCGGTTGATCAAACGTATTCAACGCCAAAAGCACCAATACCCGTAGATATTCTTGCGAAATCACCTCCAGCGCCCTCGGGTGGCGTTGTGCCTGAAATCCGAACGGATCATTATCTGATTCCGACCAACAACGGACTCGTGAGTCAACGACTAGAGACGTTAGGTGCGGATGCTTTAGCGTACGATCAAGTTCCGGCACCGGTCGGAGTCTTGGATGCACCTCCTCGCCCACCGAAACCTCCCGGCTTGCGATCCGACAGTATCATCGACGACGGCGCGTACGATATACCGGTGAGCCAGGACGGAAGCGCCGGCAGAATCTACGGCAATGCCAGAGAGGGAGCCTTCATCGGAGACCCGGTAGATCTGATCAATACGGTTCCTCCAGCCGTAAATCGAACCTTGAAGCCGAGAAAACAAGCCTCAGAACCCATCACCCCACCTCATAGCACTGTGAGTGTTCCTCCTGACTCTTCCGACGAATTGATACCTGTTTCTCTCAATTTTTCCCATGGAGCGCGGCTGCATTGTTTCACAAATGCTCCGCGGAATCTCGATCCCGAGGAGTTCCGGATCCCGTTCCGGATCGAACCAGCAAACTTTTTTTTATTGAAACTGTCGATTCGGAGTTTTCCGAAAGAGAGGCCGGAAGCCATGTCCAAGCGCGCCCACTATACTCCCTGATTGACCCCAATTAAGAACCATCGCGCATCATTCGGAAACTTCTCGAGCGAGCCTCGATTTCATCATATTCCCACTGGACGTTGCAGGCGACGAATCCGGTGCCGCGTCGCGCGAATACCACAGGCACCACGCCGCCACCAGTGCCTACGCGGAATAACGCGGCTCAACATTTCTTCCCTCACGATTTCCGGAAACCGTCAGGGGCGTCTGGAGAATCCAGTTTACCGGATGGTGAGTAGTTTCGTTGGCGTTCTGCGGGACGAGCCTTGTTTTCTCCCGGAATATTCAGAATCCTGATCTATTCCGATCCGAAGTCGATTTGGATCAAATTGCATGATGAGATGATTCCGTAGTGGGACAAACGAAGGATCACGAGCTAAATTCGGGAACGTTTTTTTACTTATAGAAGACGGACCCGCGCTCCAATATCTGGACTTGGGAAACGGGGAGCCATCCACGCCTTCCCCCAGAACACCTCATTCGCAATCTCAGCAAGTACCACCGAGCGCTGCCCAGCTCTCGCTGGCATCAACCGAATACAAAGAGGTTGATTTTGTCAAGACGAAAGCGTTGAACGAGATGAGACAAAGTCACAAGAAAAATTACAGAGCTCAGCTCGAAGAGAGTCATTAGATAACCTGGCGTCTGACACAACAATGTGGAGCAGAGCCAGGGAAATTCAGCGGAGCTACAAAGTCACCGGGAATCACCACACCAGTCAAGCCTAGATCTGACCCAAACGATTACGACGATTGACACAATGTTCGTTTTTATAATTGATGATGATTCTGAGAATCCAGATTTTAATATCGCGGAGCGCCGGTGGCTATCAAAAGCTTGAGAAAGCCTCGTTCGACTACCGCCTCGAAGAATTGGGTGGGCTGAAAGATCTGACAGAAGAAATACAATGCTCTGGAGAGAACCGAGCATTTAGAGAGAGAGGGGGGGCTTGGAAACGAGTCGAGTGCAACTTGTGCCTTGAGGTCCCACGGAGTCGACCGGGACTAGAGCGATCATTCATTGTGCAAATCGCGATGTCGACCTCAGTATTCAGATCAGTATGATGGATAATCACCGATGGATGATATCAGCATCGTACTATCAAAGAGCGCAAATGACGATGACACCCGCCAATAATTATGGTGGATATATGTCGCGTGGCAAAAGAAATCGAACCTAGATCGACATCAATCCCGCGGTAGAACGTAACTTCCCCGCAGGCCCTCTCTTTGTGCGAATATACCCGGGAATGATTTTGGATGTAGGGTTCGATTCGGATCGATCGATGGACTGATCGTTCGGAGGCCTCGCGAACTTTGGGAACCACCGACATTTTTAAGAAACTCTCCCGCGGAAGCGTCTCGCTGACGATGCCTCAGCCAAACAGGAAGCGGCCTCCCTGTTGTGAGATCGAAAAATATCAAGGCGGACACGAGCCATGTGTATACTTAGCGCCAACGCAGGCGCATTGTTTGTTGCCAAACTGTTCGAGGCTACCGAACCAAGCATGTGTGTTTTCATGTACTTCAATCTATGTTTTCCACCTTGACCACCGAGCTCTCTTGAACGTGCCGCGGCGGGGAGAGCTTTCTGAACATTCTTAAAACCGCAGTTCGTCAGTGTATATTCATGTAAGAAAGTCTCGAAAATGAAATAATATTGTCGTTTCGACGTGAAGGAAGTTTTCTCTTCCAGTAATCTCCGTAAAGAACCTCATGGAATACCCGATTCCCTTCCCAGTGAGGGCTAAGACTAAACTCTCCTTTCACCTTGAGCCCCGCTCCCCAGAATCCTTGTAGGCTTTCCGAACTTGGACCCGAGAGCATTTCTCGGATGATAATTACCTGAATGGTAGGTCTTGAACCCAAATCCGAAAAGTACGGAAAAGCGCGCCCGACTGCGAGCGGAAAGTTCCCTCGATCGTGGTTGGGTAACGACTCTGCTGCTGACGGAGTTCTTAACCGCCGGATAATCCAGGCTCCTCATTCGAAATACGTGAGAATGTTCCAGACAGAATGACCTGTCTGGCCTACCCGATCATCCATTGGGCATTTGTTTCCAGAGAAGATCCCTGGAGCAGGAGATTTCTTGACTTCTATTCCCACTTCGGGTCCACAAATTCGGAGGCGATAGAGCTGTCCGCCGCCACGGTTGTCTGCCGGCTGGCTGGCTGGATGGCAGGCCGGTCGATGAGCAGGCCGCCGCTCGTATCTGACTTCGAGACTTTAATCTGGCTCGTCAGCAGAACAGGAGCTCCTATGGTCGGGAACACATTTCTCATAGCAAATTCGGGAGAGACGGGGGAATTAATAGAGAAAACAGTGACTGACTCCCAGAAAATAGCCAACCTTTGTCGCCGAACCATATGCTATTATTCAGGATTCTCAGAGTATTCACGAATGACGACATCCGCGTCTTCTCAGCGTCGAAGAGCGAGCACAGACCGAGGACCATCTCGAATCACCTACAGTCGACTGGGGATCGAATGCCTATAATCCTCCCTCAACAGAATGACAAGGTTGGGGAAAAGGAGATGCTCATTCTCAAAGCCGCCCAACTCACTGAATGATATGCCGGACCGCCCGCCTGCATCCAGGGCAGGGGGAAGCGTACCGTGACGCGCTGCGGATCACCCCAATACCTAGGCAGGCAATAGAGCACGCGAGTCAGTACAGCGACGTGATGTGACGGTGTGGGCGAGATTTCTGAGATTTCGTCGATGGATTATTCTCGGGACGACACTCTTAAATCACCTATAAGCTGCGTGCTGGGGAGAAACTTGTATTGGATGGATATCACGGAGAAACATTCAGAGATCATTCATCAATATATTCAGAAATAACGTGAAAGGCCACTTCCATCAAAATCGGACTCAAGAAAGAGTCCGAGAAGGCACAGTCATAGGGCTCTTGATGGGAAGCTCGACGGATTATTTCTCCCTGGAACGCTTCGGCGGCGGGAATCCACCGGGTCGGATCTCGAGATGTTCGAGGGCGAAACGTTCTTTCCTGAGTGAACCCGCAGCTATCGAGAGATACGGAGTCTCGTGAGTGAAATCGGTGGCTCCGATAGATCCTAGGGAAATTCCTCCGACCTCATCCTCCCTCCCAGTTTCCGAGTCACCTGCAAGATCATTTTGTCAGAACAAGTCCCATTTTTCACGTAAATTAGGTATACTGAGTCGGAATCGGTGGAATTCTCACAGGGATTCCTTCCCGTGAACATGTGACCCTTCATGAGGAGTTGAATTGAACCAACCACCTCAGTTCCGGGATTGATGGCTCCGAGACGGGAAATTTCCATAAAGTCGATCACTCCTCAGACGGCTTAAATTCCCCATAGTTCTCTGCGAAGCGTCCGTGCCAATCGAGAGGTCGTCATCATCCATGCTAGGCTTCGCAGCCGCGGTCATAATCGAAGCTTCGATTCTCATCCCCCATGGCGCTTTATGAAGGACAGCGATTCACCGCAGTCACTAACCGCGGTTTTTCATTAAAAATCCGTTTGCGCGCAAAGCCTAATCCGCACTTCGTCCCTCGAGATAATTCTTTTTTTCCATCGTTCCCCAGATTGCCGGAGTAGCCGGCTTGTTGTTCTTTGGCCCAGTTCCTTCTTCATCTCTTCCCCTCATTCTCCCTGTGTTTGTATGGCGATTGTTGTCTGTTCATTAAACGCGGTCGTGCCTCTTCCTACAACGGGCTTCAGTCTGCGCTCGTTTCATTTTCAAACAGCTTAGGAATAAACAGGCTAGCTTGCTAGCGGGCTGACCAGACACTTGATATCAAACTCCGAGCAATCTTCCCCGCCACGACGAGACACATTCACACATAAACATTGCCGCCGACCTCGTCATCATCGTGACGGTGAGCATCAAGATCTGTTTTTGTTTCTTCCCGGTCACGCCGGGTGGCGTTCATTATTCCCCTCCTAACCTCTAGGGACGGCGGCGTCGGCAGAAGACCGAAGTCGAACCGAGCGGTCACTCGCTTCAGAAAGATTCAAGACGACCAGGCTGCAGCGACAGCTCAATTCCCGTACTGCGGGTAACGAGATTGTAGCAACCCTTCCTGAACCCTAGCCAGCTCGATCGAACCCGAGCCTAACTCGGGTCCTCGAATCCCCCGGGAGTCTGGCGCCCGGGTGCAATTAACGGTCACACGGAATGAACGCCGGTGTCTGTCTTGTTCCAGCGGAAATCGGAGGCGACTGGGACTTTTTCTGTGCTCGACCACAATGCTGTCCGCGCTTCGTCCCGAGCCTTTTCTTCTGGTCGGTCGTCGCTATCGTCGTTCCCGGTATTCTGACCCTAGCGCTGACCAGCGAAGCCGGCTTCGCACTGAAGTCCAGAGCATTGTATTCTCGGACTCCGAAAAACTGCCGACCCCTTACCGTCCGGCGGATTTTAAAAGGAAGATGGCTCTGATATTTCACTCGCTGGTTCCCGACTGACGTTTCCACCTCGAGCAAAAGTTGTACATCGGCGCCGAGGCGACCGAAACGGGGTGAAACATCCCGGAGGCGTCAGGATTCCGATCAGCAATTTCTGCCTTCTGAAGAGGCACCGAACCTCGTCGCCTCCGAGTTCGAGAGGAGCTCCGGCATGAGATCGGAGCCAAACCGAGGCAAGGGATGAAGCAGGTGTATTGAGTTCCTCTTATCCACGTCGACAAAGACTCAGCTCCCGATCCGTCACCAATAACCGCGGACATCCCTGGACAGGCGAGCCGTGAGCCTATTCTCGATACTTGAGCGTGAGCGTCTTAGGGTTTATCGTCGAGAGCCACGGGACGTGAACAATAATTGCATTGGCCCATCTCTAGTCCGTGAAACCATGCTGTCTCCGGTTCCGAAGTCCCCTCTGGAACCCCGCGAAAAACCCGCCAGAGCTCTGCCGGGACTCCGCAGGCATCGCTTCGGAAACCCATGACCTGATACTTCCTCCGGCCGAAATCCGGATAGGATAGTCTTTTTTGAGTTAGGGACTCTCCTCTCTTTCGCGCAGGTGCCGAATTCTGGTGCTCCACCCCCGCTTTATGAGCCCGTAATAAAAAAGCTCCACGGGGGTCGAAAACTCTTTTCCACGAAGTCGAGGAGCTGAATCACTGCAGTGACCTCAAATCTATTCGTCCGGTGCGGGAAAAACGTCGGGCGTCGTTTCCGTGAACTCGCAGCAAATCGTGAAACTCGCAACAGTTCGCGACGCTCAGCGAATGTGGCAAAAATTCTCACGAGTACCAGTGGTCGAATGGATATTCGATGCGGACAAAAAGCGGACGATGATGCTTCACCATCATGAGCGATTTCTTCTTCACCCTTGCTCCAGTCTCACTCATTGTGTCCGCAGCTCGTCGTCGCTTTTCCTGAATGAGCGAACGAGCGACAGAAAAAGGAAGGAAGGAAAGCAAGCGGGCTCTCTGCTAGCTGGTTGGCTGGCAAGTGCACAGGCACCAAAGCGAGGGACCAGGCAATTGAGCAAGGCAGACAGGCGGGCGGACGGCTGGAAAGCCAGGCAAGGAAGAACAACAGCAACGACAACAGTTGACCAAGCGGGTCAGTGGTCCAGGCAGAAGGCCGGCTTCTGAACGGCGACGACGACGACGGCAGCGACGACGGTAGCGACGACCACTACACACTGTCACTCAGAAGACACACTGTCGACAACCGGGACGATGGCTGGGGTTTCAGCCCGTTGCTCGCCAACTGTAAAGTGCAGGTACGTGCTATCATCTGATACTCTAGGTTCCCATCGGTTTGGCCCCCAATCTGTATCTAATCCCGTAGCTGGCCGTAGTCATCTCGATTTTCTGTTCTCGCGATTTGTGCTTTCAAGTCCGGCAAGTTGAGCCCGAACATCCTCCTATGAGGGAGATAGCTTTTATTATTAGCATAAAATGAATGAGAAGACGGGAGATTCTCTTTGTGTTGTGACTTCTAATTCCCCGAGAGCAATAACTGAGTGAATCTGGGCTTCCCGAGAGGGCATTGCCTCATCACACGACTTGCGGGGGTCTATTACTCTATCTGTCTTCGCTGACTGAGAATTAATATTGAAGAGTTCATGTTCCTTCCAACAGTCTGCTATACTCGCTCTTCGTACTCGTGCTATCCCTGGAAGCGGTCTCGGCAGCTCCGAGCGATGATTCGCTGGGTCTTCCATGCTTTTTCAACCTGACTGCAGCGTCGCCCTACTCGGTCCGAGTCCATCTCAATAACAGGTTATTGGTTGGCGAACAGTACGTCCCTCATGGATCCGAGCTCGCCTTCCACTGTCCGATACAGCGTTTCTATCGTCTCACCGGTCCCAATACGATACGCTGCAAGCACGGGAAATTCGAAGAAAAACTATCGACCTGCGAAGCCGTTCTCATATGTGAGTTTAATTCGAGTCGTTTCACGCACGGAACCGAATGGGCCTCGATGGGCCATCCCATGGAGCTGGGAAGGTTTTACGAGTGTTAATTCGTTGGGGCGTGCGTCAGAGTCTCGGGGGTGCGAAGCAACTGAGTTCGCCATCAACGCACCTGAGTCCGTGATTATTCACCGACCTGGAGACTTGAACTTCGGCGAACTTCTCTCACAATATTGCTTTCAAATCACCTTCAGCGAACCGCCTGACTGCTCTCGTAGACACCGAATACATCATGGGCCCCGGTGGTGAATACGTAGTTTTCGCAGGATCCCAGGTCCGGCTCAGCTGCTATCATGCTCTGTCCAGGGCCTACCGTCCCTCTTGGCAATGGGTGGGCAAAGTGAGCAACGTGTTCATCGAAGGTGAGTTGTCGATCGGTTTTCAGATTTGAGATCTCGAATATGGACTGAAATTCAAGTGTCTCATTGGCTTCAACTTCGTGGAACCGAGTCAAGCAAAATGGTCCATCAGGGGACCTGCACTCAACACCGAAGCAAAGAATGAGACGAACAACGGTCACAGATCACGTTCCCGGTTTGACACGAGCCATAAACTCGTTTCATTATTCAAAAAGCCAAACGGTGCAAACCTCACCGCGAAAGATGTTGTGCTTGGTCACTCTTCACTCAGGTTCTTTGTTAGTGAGGGCTCGGAGTTTTTCCTTCATACCCCGAAGGGTTGTGGGAAAATAAGTTCTGAATCATTAGTATATAATGCTGAATCACTAAATTCTCGAATGAATCGCGCCGCGTGCGCTCAGCTCTTCGTCGGGCGTGACGTTCAACTTAATGAGCACCCTTCACTCATTTCTGCGAAACGATTCAGATGGATATATGAGATCTTGGCTCGTTAATAATACTCACAGACTCGCTTCAGAACCGACAATCTACAAGGCGTTGAAATGATGCAGCAGAAGCAGCGGTTGTCTTGAGCGAGATTTCTCAAATTCGATTGGGGAATTTTTCAGAAAAAGTCTCTTTCGGACAAGTGACCGTTTATGCGAAGTTCGAAGCCACAAACGAAACAAAGGCCACTTTCACGTGTTCTGACCCGACGGATGAAATCCACGTGAAGATCGTAGCACGTCGTGAGTATCCGTTTCGCTTCCCGAGGACGGAATTGCTCATCTTCCAAAACGTCCCTCGTTTTTTCCCATCTCGAGCATGGCGGTCACTGCTCTCACGGGAAACTCGCTCTCGACTTGCATCTTCAAGATGAATACATAAACTATGGCCGAATTTATTGTAATGTATACTCTGTATCAAAACAGCTCTGCAATGCCCACAATTGAAACGATCGAGTGGACTTACGATCTCGCAGACGTCATGGTTGCGGGCCGATTTCTCGTGTCCCGCTGGTTCGATACTCCTGGGACCTCAGACTACCAACTGCATGCAGTTCCGTCAATGGGATTCTCCTGAGCCGATTTGTGCCTTCTACGGATGTAAGCAAGCACCGCGTGAGCTCTGGAGCCCGCTTCAGGGTTTTTTGAGGCAATCCAAATCTCTTGTTTCCTGTCCCGGAATCCGGCCTCGTTTCTATAGCCTGTCGATGCCGCAAAGGATCACAGGAAATGCGAATTCTAGGTGAAAGAAGGAAGCTCAACGCAGATGGGACACCGGACGACGGTCTGCTGTTCCCCTGTCAACTCCCAGAGCTGTCAGGTGACCTGGTGGCTTATTCAAGGTCGAGTCGAATCCAATCCATGGATGTCGTTGCACACGGCACGGACGTCGAGTTCAATTGCCGCAATCTCGGTCGAGCTCTGAAGATAGGCGCCGGCGAAGCCAGGTGTCTCAACGGAAACTGGACAGCGCCCCCGCCGGTTTGCGCGATTCCGGATCGATCGAGTGAGTTTTGGCCGTTAAAATTGCTGGTTGGAAACCACAGGAATTAGCTCAGGATGTCGCTCGCTGAACCCCTTTCCCTTGGTAGATTCGTACCTCTTTCATTCGGAAATACGAAAAACTCCGCCCGAGCTCGCTGGAAATAATGGTCGCACACAATTTGCGTCGCGGATCTTTATTGTTGTGGAATAATAAATGTTTCGTTTAATAGCGCGGAATGGTTTTCTCGCCCTCACAGGTCTCAAGGGCATCGTTTTCGACTTCGATTTCCCGTACCGATTCGGACCGACCGGGGTTCTATACGTCGAGCCTAAAAGCGAAGTCATCATCAAATGCATCTCGCCGACAAAGCTCATGCCTACACTGAATTACACGATCTACGATGAACTCAGTCCAGTCTTCATCATTAAAGCAGGTGGGTGGTCAGAAAGATTATTTCTCTTCAGATTCTTGCTCGGATGATTCCTCCACTCAGAAGCATCTCGGATTCTACTCTCCTTTCGTCCGCAACAGAAGCCGAAGACAGCACCGCCGTTGCGAGGGTTTTCACTTTCAACACCGGTCCGAAGTTCGATGCGGAGTTCTCCTGTACAACAAATGAGACAAACGATGTCTTCGAGACTCGGAGCGTCCGTATCGTTACTCGCGAGGCTCGTTGCGGTAGTTTCGAAACTCGAGAAGGTCTCCGCTACGAAGTAGTGGACGATATGGCAGTTTTCCGCTGTGAGGAGCCAGGAAGGTTATTGGGTTAGTTCTTTTATCAGCCGCGGTCCATGCCGAAGAGGACGCTCTAATCCGATCCCCTTTGATGTCGATCTGTACCAGTAATTCATGGCAATAGCAATTAAATATTTCGATGTTTGCTTTCATCCAAGGCCGCAGTCTCCTGCACTGCGTGAACGGGGATTGGGATCACGCTCAGCCGATGTGCGTGTACCAAGAGCGCTGTGCCGGCTGGCTTCCAGACGCTTCGAACATTACTGAGGACGCGGGTGGCTTCAGACAAAACGAGAATCAGACTTTCGTGGTCCGTGAGAAGCAAGTTCTTCAGGAAAATGCCACCAATTATCAGCTGAACCAGCAAGGCTCTTCGTCCACTGGAACTGCAAGACCCCCTCTGCGTCCGCTGCGTCCCCTTCGCCCTCTGCAGGCTGCGATCGAGGAAGACGATGTGAGAATAATTTATTTCACCCAAGTGTTCCAAATCTCACTGACTGCGAGCTCCAGAGAGCTTGCCGATTCTTGGCGGACGGGTCATCACTGTCCGGTATTTCCAAGAGTAGGTTCTCGTCTTCTAATCGCTCCCGCTCTGCAGGATGACTCCGCCGATGAAACTGATGACGAGCTGAGGAAAATCGTCGAGGAGGCTGAGAAAGAAGAAAATGAAGAGTACGCTGACGATGAGGAATACGTGAGTTTTTTTTCAGAGGTCGCGGGGGAGTTTCCGCTGATTTAAGTACAATCTCATCCGATTTTTCGTTTTTGTGGCTTTGACACTGAGAATTTCGCATCTACAGCAAACAGTCCGTCCGAAACGCCCACTGAACCCTGTCGAGTCGACTCCCGCGCCGTCCGAGGAGTCGTTGGTCTGCCCGAAGCCGTCCGGAATGTTCGCATACCCTAAAGACTGCCGCCGCTTCATTCTTTGCACCGAAGGTGTTGCGACGACGATGCTGTGCCCCCAGAAACTGATCTTCAGTCCTTCTGCGGAGCTGTGTCGCGAGAAGGACGACGAAAGTGGCTGCTATGCCGATGATTGATTGATCTCGATCGATCTCCATTCAGAAGAGTCACACGCACCGACTCGCTCAGAAATTCCCCTCTTCACCGAAAACGGAGGAGCATGGGAAGTCTGTGCGGTTTGACCGCCCTCTCATTAATATTGATATTTATTCAGAGAGTATTTATAAGCGCGCCCGTGGGCTTTCATCGAATTTTTCATAGTTTTCGATTCGTCCTTCATGAGATCAGTCGGTTTCCGAAGAATAATCCAGTCGATGAGTTGTCTGTCAACGTCGTGCGCACGTCTCCTCTCCCGGAGAGCGCCGAATCACATGCATACCGCTAACCCCTTAAAGTAACGATTATAAAACGTGCAGAAAAAACTCTCGGAGCGAGACATGAGAGAAAGACCTACATAACCGCCACTGACCGGCAATGGACCTGGTGACCAAAGAAGCTGTGATTATTATCAGTCTCTTTTACTACACATCAAGATGCTCACCGAATAATTACTATCATGCGATGATGGACAAGAATCTCTGGGCAGCATTCTGAGAAGCGTCCGCCAGACAACATCTCAATCGAGCTGAATCAGACTCGTCATGAACGGAATCGTAAGGATAATCCAATCACGAACAGGGGTCCCGAAAATTGCTCGAGTAGAATACTGATGAACGATCGAATCCATCAAATAATTTCTAAATAAACAATGACGCTGGGCGAGGGTATTTATGGATCTCGATAGTTTCTCTTAATTCCAACTACATTCCCAATGAGAGCGAATTTCGGTGCGAATTCCGTATCGCGGTTTACCGAAGAGGAATTATGCAAGCCCACGGGCTCCGAGCCCGAGTCGAGTGGCCTCTTCTCCCGCTTAATTTCAAACCTAAAGTTAAGTTTCGGTTGCCGCCTGCTCCGCTGCTGCCACGGTCGTTCCACGGGGATCCTGGCGAGCGGGATCCGCCGCAGGGATCTCGAACGCAGCTAATTGAGTGCGGGCTGAGAGAAGCTAGAACTCGTTCGGGAATCTAGCCATGAGAGATGAACAAGAATTGATGAAGTACTTCTCAGTCAGCCTTACTATCGAGCTCTCTGAGGTCACGTCTGAGAAGACAATCGATCAAATTCTCTGCTCGCTGGCCGGCCGAGAGGATTCATTCCCACTACAAGCCGAATATTCACCCGACCTGAGTGGGGAAAAGATAGAAGCCTCCCAGGGAGAAAAAGCTCTCTGCGACATTTCGACAATATTGTCCCTTGGGACCTTGAAGGGGAAGAATGCCTCTTAAACTATCCTGAAACCCACTCGAGCCTGATTTCGGAGACTGAAAGCAAGTTTCCATCCACCTGCGTAATAGGGAAGCTATCTCGTGTATGGAAGGAGCAGCGAGTGAGGCGATCCGGAATCCTCGCAGGCAAGGGAATTTTCGTCGTGGGAACGTCTCCGCATAAGGATTGGTGTCAGAATGGCGAATTCTTGTCATCCGGCTCTTCGCAGTATCTGATTTTGGGAGCTGACGAGTTTTTCCGCGCGAAGCTCACAGGTTTCGATATTGTATCTTAGCAAAGCGCCGGTAGATTCCCGATTCTGATCCCATCAAGGATAGTGCCGCCACCTCACGATCAAGCGGTCAATCACCTCTGAAAAATCATGGATCCTCGCAGAATATAGGTATGCGAGTACCTATTCACAATAATCGAATGATATCGCTTGAGACCATCGATCGAGCTCCTTGACAGAGTCGATGTCACTAATAATTTCGATGAAGGAGGCTGTGATTCGGGCTACGGACTGAGACTTATTGCGTTTGGGCGCTCGAGAATCAAGCTGAGAATGATCAAATCCACAATGTCGCACTCTTTCACCGCCACCTAATGAAATCGACTTCGGCATCCCGACCGAGATGTTTAGGACAGGAATTCGGGAAGCGGATTCATCTTTCCCAGCGACCAGATTTTCCTGCTCCGACGACGACAATTAATCAAGGGAGTTCTATTGACCTTCCGCGGTTTACGTGAGCGAGCAGAGTAGTATCAATCGGTCGCTGCCTTCTCGATAATCCAGGGATACTTTGCCGGGACGATCGCTACCAACAACGAGTGAGCTAACGCGAGCCGACGCTCACACTGCTGAGTTTGTAAGCCAGAGATCGCGTAGTTCTTGTGGACGGAGGAAATCTCGCCGGAGCGATGGAGGCACCGCGGAGGAAGAACGCAGATTTCCAGAGATGCTTGCAATCAGGTAGCCGTGCGGATTTGAGACGCTGCTGGGTCGATACCCGGAACTCATGCTCGATAGATTGGGCTAAAACAGCACATTTATCTCACATCAAGCTTTGAACGAAATCAAACCATTTACTGGCACTTCAGATGGTGTGGGTGATGCCGAGGCGGATCCGGTTCGACTCAGCGATTCTCGGGTCCGGTAAACTCTCGTGACCATGGTCTGCGTGACAATGTCTTTCGGCGCATTCGTTCAACGCGACCATTTCTGAAGTCCTTACGATACGACCCTCCCCGTGCATCGTGCATATGATCTTGCCGGGATCGACCCCTTTCTAAGATAATCTATGCGTAAATTTCTAGGAAAGAATACGAAGAGACGATCGGGAAACTCAAGGATCGAATCAACGAGCTCTCGGGAGTCGTCGCCAGCGACCGCGAAAAGCTCGTGTGAGTAATCGGCGAGCCCCGCTCCAGGATTTGCTGTCTCGAGTATCCCGGCAGTTGTAATGACAAGGAACGCCTAAACTTTCTCCCACAACCAGAGAATGCGACGCAGTCAAACGCAAGTTGGTCGCACTCGATGCGAAGTTGATCAACCAGAGCTTGCAGCTCGAAAAAGCGACTAAGGAGATCGCGGCGCTGCGGAAGGTGAACGAAGACATCCGAGTTGAGAATTCCAGTCTCCTGAGAATTTACGAGCACGAAGTGAGGCGCGCAGACTTTCTCCAAGGCCTTTGCATCGACCTCGACGAGGAGAATAAGGGGCTTCACGAAAAACAGGTCAGTCCTGTCGAGGCGATTTCTGTTCTCTCCTCCATCAAGCTGGCGCAGTTGACCATCGAGCGTCCTACCGCTTATCTAAAAGAGGTCCTCAAATGGCATCAGCTCAGCTCTGCCGAAATATTCGCTACGAGAATCTTCACACCCGATACATCGCTACGTCAAGCTCAATCGCCCGAAAATATTACCATAAAGAGCGCGGTATAGTATTCTAATCTACCCGCGTTCTCCAGGGACAGTCATCCTACGTGGGAACGCCAGATGTTCCCAGTAGGGTCGAAACCCGATCACCTTCTCTCCCCGACGCGAGTTACCTGCAGGAATCATCTTCGCTATCCACTTCCGCGCCGGCTGAATCCTTCTACCAGGACGACCAACTGAGACGACGGAGTCGTCGTACCTTGGAACACCTGACTGAACTCATGTGCGAGCGTAGGCGTCGCGGCGGTGAAGATATCACACCTCGTTGAACCAGTTTTAGCGATACGGGGTAGATTTTCGACGGCGCTCAGATTTCTGAGGATTCTCGCTACGTTTGATTCCATCGAGGAACGACGCATCCCGCGGAATCAAGCGGCGGTGTCGGCTACCGGTGGATTCTAGCAGCGTCGGTGGATTATGCTTCACTCTCCCACGATGAAAATATATCTCGTCGTGTGCAAACTGTATGCAGGAGCACCCTCGCGAAAGAGTGACTTTGTAACATCTAGAAATAAAACGAGTAGTACTTGGACCTTGTTCAGAGTCTAGTTAGTTGTTGTACAAATGAAAACGGGAAGCTGAATGCCGTCGCGAAGCGAGCAATTCGTAGAACTTCTCAATCGGGAACGTTCTCTCGAGAAGCGCGGTCAGAGAGACTCGGCTACCATCGCGGTGACGCGTGGGTGTTTATTTATTGTGATGCAGCCTCGACTGTTTACGCGATACTAGATCGCTTTTCGTCACGACGCGTCGCGACGGACTCATTTCTCACAACACCAGGGAAACTGAGAGAGGATGCTTCTTCCGGCAGAGCTCGAGGTGAACCCCTAATTTGCACGATCATGCTCGGCCTACTCGCATCAACCGAATCGATCCATCGTATGCATAAAACCTCGATTCTCCAACTCGCAGCGACTCAATTACGAGCCTCCCTCCCGGGGCGAATTCTCTCTGATGGCCTGTGCGCAAGGACGAGCCGGAAGGGTTCGACATGCGTCCGATATTCGAATCAGGGCCCAAATTCTAGCTGGAGAGATGAGACGCGACCTATCTATCGAAGGTCTGGTGAAGGCCCCGGAAGAATTGACTGTCAACACGACGAATAATACCCTTGTTGAGGACAGGCCGAGGAGCCGCGCTCATACATGAGCTTCGAACGTGCGCTCTCTGAATTCTGTTGGGACATACGGTATCGGCTGTGATGACGCAAAATCTTAGTATAATTATATACATCAAATTATAATGTTGGGAATGCCCCCTTCTCCCTTGCTGGCTGCTGTCCTGACTTCGAGTTATTCGGGTGCATTGTCCGGGTACCGGTATGTTCGAGCACCCCTTTGCAGCGTATCTATCCCCAATCCTGCCAGATCGCGAGAATTCACTGTCTGCCGGTCGGTAATGAGTCATGACTAAATCGTTACGATCGAATTATCCCTCGAAATAAGCGAATAATCACCAATGGGAGGGACCAAGTTCCAATCAGCAGCACCGACTATCTGATTGTCGGTCTAGATTCTGCAGCTGACGTTGCCTATGATGTTTCCCAGAAGTCACTTCACTTGCATAGCTGCCCACGAGCCTTATGGAACACACGCAGTCAGGCACATAGCCCATAAGGCTGGAAACCGATTGGTTGTTGACCGTGGTCTCCACTGGAGCCTGAACGTCCTTGGCCGTGACTTCAGAAGACTTTCCGTGTCGACGCCCACCTTATACGGCGCTGCGTGATTGGCGGGAGTAAGGCGGACACGCGCCCTCTTGCTGCTTCATCCCGGTACTCGCGGTGGTTGTTGTTGCTGCTGCTGCGACGGCCGGTGGCACGAATCTATTCTTAGCGGTCGCTCTAGAGCAGGGTTCAGAGACTAGCAGCCGAAGCACGGCACCAACATCTCCGACCACCGAGCCTAGGGTCCGGCGGCATGAGGCGGCTCGTGTGGGGGCTTTCTGCCCTCTTGTGCTTCTGTCTTTTGGTTCCAGCCTCTGGAGGACGGAAAAAAGAGGATCAGACCCCGATCGGCGAAGACGGCGAAGTGATACCCGAAGTGAATGGCAAGAAACTTGACAGTCTCCTGGAGAGCGAGGAATACCTAGCTGTGTTTTTCTGTGAGTATTCTTCTCTACTCTGTCGCTGTGAATGCTCTCAGAGTGCCGCTCTTGCAATCGGATCTCATCGAATAATTATCATCAAAATTCATCGGGCCGAATTCCGTCGTTCCACGGCGACGACGATCCCCTTAGAATTGAAATCCGGCCGCCCCCCTCTGGCTCATTCCATGGAGTGCGATGGGAGACGCGAGCAGGGAAGTCCGGCTCTCGTGACGCTCCTCCTCTTTCCCTCACGATAATTCAGGGACTGCGATTTTTCGTCCAGTTTTCCATGATCCTTAGCGGGTCTTGAAAGCAGGCGGTCGGCAATAGAAATTACCTGTCTCCCTTTCGTTTCGTCGACTCCGAGCCGGAAGCAGCTTGGAGGGCGCTCCTCAATGTTCGGAGCTTCCGTCGCTGCTGGCGGAGGACGCCCGGAGTGTTGATAAGATCCAACGGAACTCCGAGAATGACTCCTGGAGCGAAAGAAAAAGTTGATTGGAATGAGCCCATCTTGACCCCGATCGCGTACGGGAATCCTCGCTCTCCGAAGAATTTGACTCGGGCTCAATCCGGCTGACGGGCCCGACCCGGATCGGGACCTTCAGCCTTCGCTCGCAGCTCGACCGGGAGAAAACACGCGCGGAAAACGACCTCGGGATAGGGGTGCAGGAACGTTCGATAATTGATCGTCTCATCGCTATTTGATTTGTTCAGACGTCCAATCATACCGATCAACTTAGGATAACTCTCGCAGAAGTCGCCTTGACTCTTTCACCTCCTCAAGAGCCCTCATCGACTCTTCTCGAGCGGTAGCTTTTGAATATGAACGCATCAAATAGAAAATAGAATGTCTGCCTCAAGCTAATTGGGTGACCGAGTAGCTCAGAGAGCGGGTCCGTGAACTAGTTAGTCCTGTCGCAGCGCGATGGCTAACCTAAAGGGATTCGAGGTGAGGCAGGAAACGATAATTCACAACAAAAGCTTTCTGGCAAAAGGAATGAGCCACGTTTGTGCTAGAGTTGCATTCTCGTCAAAAGCTGGCGGAGATTCTGCCCGCTGAGAGGTTGTTGCGGCCATCGCTGCTGCCGATGCTTGGCGTCGTCTGTCGAGAGACCTGTGGGTAGGGCGAGCAAACAGGCGGCTGTGCCGCAGACCTGGTTTCGGAAGCCGACCCTATAGCCTTGACATATTGGAAAAGAGCTTCCGATAGATAACTAAGAAGGGAAGTAGCGGCTCACTTTTGCGGGGAACTCTGAGCCTCGCGATGATAAGGAAGTGACTGCATGCCCTCCCGCGCGCACACCCTTCATTCGGGCTCTTCACGGCTGGCCCGGCCGACTGTGAGCCCATGCAACCGAGTCGGCTCACTCAGCCAGTAAGTCAGTCAAAGAGCAGCAATTCGTGACTTGGAGTCGATATCAGAGCTAGAACACGTATTGCATCTAATACATAGGGTAACGGTCTCAAAGGAGCGCGTGTGGTAAAAAAGGCCACGGCTCGTCGAGAAAAGGGGGAATCCTCCACCACGCGGAAGGGCGGATTCGGAGCCGTCCGACGCCGCGGCATCGAAATGGCACTCGATGGCGAGTTGAAAGCTCGTTAGAGAGAAAGCGACACCCATGGATCGTCTGATAATGGAGAAAATGCTTCACAGATACGAAAATCTGTAAGACGTGCGATGCCGTGCTCACCGAGCTCGAGCGGATTAATGACGATGCCGAGAGGTTCGGAGTCAGATTCGTTAAGAATGGAGAACGAGCAGTTGCCAAGAAACTTCTGGGCATCACACAATTCCCTGCCCTGGCCTACTATAGGTAAGTTTCCCAAGGGGCTGAAATGCAAATGACTGGAGGCAGTCGAGTTGATCGTCCGCACGCACTCGGCGAGGTCCAATCTAGGAGAAGTCCTGAGCGAGGGTTTTCCATAGGAACAAGGAGCCCCAACTTTTCCAAGGGAATCTCATGGAAGAGGAGGCTGTACTCGAATGGCTGACGAACCTCGAAGCGATGGAGCTCGCTGATAAAATAGAAGAGGTCAACGGTAAAATCCTCGAGACGCTCATCAAGGAGAAGGACTATTTGGCCGTACTATTTTGTGAGTGTTCCCGATGGGCTAATCCCTGGCAGCAACGTATATATCTCGCAATCATGATTATCGTTCGAGTAATGGCAGCCTGACGATTATCTTACTTTCTTTCCGACCAGACAAGGAGAAACACAAAGAGTCCGAATTGGTCCTGGTCGAGCTCGAGAACATCGACGATGAAGCGGATCAGCTGGGTATCGGATTCGTAAAAACATCCGAGAGGGAACTCTTCGACAAATACGGTCTCGACACCATTCCTGCTCTTGCGTACTACCGAAAGACGATCCCCCTACTCTACGAGGGAGATCTCCGGAACGAAGAAGAAGTGCTCAAGTGGCTCGAAGAATTCAAGAATGTTGACGATGAAGACGATGACGTCATCGAGGACGTTTCCGCGGACAACTTGGAGAGCATGATTGACAAGACCGACATCCTGGCCGTGTTCGTCTGTGAGTATTCCGTCTGAGTGAGAGGAATACAGATGCTTCAATTGTCCGGTCCAGTCGGAATTTCCTTTGCTGAGAACTTACATACGCATATCAATCGAAACCAATAGGATAGAGAACCGCGCTTATGGAAGGTTCGATTTCAGACGACGCGAACGACAAGGATCAGAAGCAGATCCTAGAGGAGCTCGAAACGATTGATGATGATCTCGATCAGCACGGCATTCCGTTCGTCAAAACGGACGATGTAGAATTCATAAAGAAGTTCGGCCTCGAGAGCACGCCGCAATTGATTTACTTCGAAAACGGAGTACCTCAATTCTACAAAGGTGCAAATCAAACTATCGTCATCCATTAGGGATTCCGGCCTCTTGCTTTGCGAATATGCGTGCTCATCCGTTTCGCCCGAATCGGAACCCATGGGATTCCGATGGAGCACCTGTTGTGAGCTGGGGGTTTGCCTCGAACAAAAATCTTCGGGAAAAATTCGCCGTGACGTATGCGGACAGGAGCGAGACGCTCGTTCGCTGTCACCATGACGAAACGTCCCACGACGTGGATACTTATACATTCGCTACGGAATTGACTGACTTGTTCCCCGACAGATGACATGACAAACGAGGAACGCATCATGAATTGGCTGGTTGAACAGAAGATGGAGGACGAAATCGAAGAAGTGACCGAGGATGTTCTCGAGGACCTCATCGAAAATTCCGACTTCCTGGCGGTGCTGATCTGTGAGTTTATTCATCGATTTTCCGTTGAAAAATCGACTCTCTCTGAACCCCCGTGCCTTCTCCAGAGAGAGGAGGGCTTGAGGCATCTCCTCTAGGGTGATTATCCGGAAAGGATCAGATTTTTATTCATCCGAGAATCAGCTGAGCGGTCTGCGGCATCCGCCTGAGAGCTCACAATCAGGCGGAACAGCAGTAGCAGCAGATGATGAATGGATACAAATCTAATGGAATTTTTGACGAAGAGCCTGCTTTTTTCTAATGAACAAACTTTGCCTCTCCTCCCTATTGCTCCAGATGATAAAGGAGACGAGAAAAGTGAAGACGTCCTCGCAGAGCTGGAGAACATCGATGATGAGTGCGATCAACACGATATACCTTTTGTGAAGATCGATGACCCGGATGTCGTAAAACAGTTCGGAGTGGATGTCGTACCCGCGTTGCTCTACTTCGAGGGCGGCATCCCCAACTACTACCCAGGTACTTAACTGCTTCCGCTCGAATGATTCATATCAATGTTTCTGGGTCCCGTCCCGTCCGGATGAGTGACTCAGCCCGTATGTTTTCCATGTCCTTGTTCCTCGCCTAACGGAAGTTATCGAATGTTCCGCAGGTGAGTTATCGAATGCCACGGCGGTGCTGCAGTGGTTGGAAGAGGTTCAGGGTTCAGACGAGCTAGAAAAGTACCGAATCTCAAAAAAGTCATCCAGAAAGGCCAAAGGTACAAGGGAATTTCCGTGAACTGCCGTGGAACTAACAGTCTGTCGAATGGATTGGACTCCGTCAATGTTATGTTTCGCCTTCTTCGATCGGAGCGTTCGGTGCGATCGTTCCCCTCTCTGGAAATGGGGTTTGAGTTGCTCAATTCTTTTTTTGAATCAATCGGTCCCGAGGGAAATGGTATATTTTCCCTGAGCGTGAATACGCCCGATATTTTCTCGGATGTTTTTGCTGCGTCTCTCATTTTCCTTCGTTCTTTGTGAACTCCGTCACTTGCTGCGCTTCTCACTCGATCACGTCGTCGAAATACGTTCTCGTCCGTCTTTCGGCGTCAGATCCTTCAGCCGCCTGATTAATTTAGGTATGAACGATGCCTGATTGCGTTCCAGGAAATCTCCTCAAGGAGCAAGAAGTTCTCGATTGGCTCATCCGTCAGAAAGAGTCAGATGAAATCGAAGACGTGACTCCGGAAATCCTCGAGGCCCTCATCCAGAGATCGGATTATCTGGCTGTTCTCTTCTGTGAGTCCTTCTCTCGTTCGCTTGGTGTCGATAGTAGGGGTTCGATAACACCGAGTTCTTTCCTGTCGTCAACGAGATATGAGGCACCCCGACGACTTCGCTGTCGCTTACATCGGTGCTGGTAGAGAAATTACTTTGGGCCGGGAAGTGGGAGGCTTGGATTCTCTCCACGCTGAAAGTGATCTGAATTTATTCCAGATGACCGCGATGACGAAAAATCGCAGCGGGTTCTCAAAGAGTTGGAGAATATCGATGATGAAGCCGACGAACACGATCTGCCTTTCATCAAGATCGACGACGATCAGGTTGCCAGAGACTACGGCATCGATGACGAGTTGCCGTGCTTGGTTTATTTTGAGAACGAAATCCCTTCCATTTATCACGGCGACCTCTCTAACGAGGAGCAGGTGCTCGACTGGCTTATCGAGCAAATCAACTCTGACTCCATTGAGGAAGTTACCGACAAGATCCTTGAGAACTTGGTCGAGAAAAATCAGCACGTCGCTGTAATTTTCTGTGAGTTTCCTCGTCACACCTCTGTGAGCGCTCCAAAAGGACGGATCTCGTCGAATTGTCCAACATTCCATGCATTTGCGTTGTTCCAGACGAGATGAAAAACAAGAAAATCGACAAGAAAACCGAAAGAGTGATCAAAGAACTCGAAGAGATCGACGACGAAGCCGACGAGCACTTCGTGCTCTTCCTCAAGACGCACGATCCGAACGCTTCGAAGAAATACGGAATCGAGGTTTTCCCAACCCTGGTATTTTTCGATAGAACGATACCGAACATCTACCACGGCGACCTTCTGAAAGAAGAAGAAGTGCTCGCATGGTTCGTGCGTCAGAAGACCAGTGAGGAAATCGAGGAAATCACGGAAGAAATGCTCAAAGAGCTTGTGGAGGAAAATCAAAAGATCGTCGTTCTCTTCTGTGAGTTCATTTGAGGGGGGCTTCGAGAGGCAGAGTAAAATGGATTCCGAAAATACATCCGCGATTCCGCGACGCAAAAATGTTCGTCACGACGCCGAAATTTCAGACGACAAGGAGGTCGACTCCTCAAAGGACGTGCTCGACGATCTGGAGAACATCGATGACGATCTCGACAAGCTCGGCATACCTTTTGTGAAAATCGATGACGATTCAATCGCCAAAGACTTCGGAATCCTCGATGAACTCCCAGCTCTCGTTTATTTCGAAGACGAGATCCCGAGCGTCTACGAGGGCGATCTCCATAACGAGGAGAAGGCTCTGAAGTGGATCGTGAAACAAGCTCAGGAGGATACTATCGAAGAGGTGACGGAAGAAATGCTCGATTACCTCGTCAAGGATAAGGAGTACGTTCTGGTCTTCTACGGTAAGCGTTAGGTTGTTTTCCCGTGGGCGAGAACCTCCAGAACTCCCGCGACCGAATACGTAATTCCCATTCCTTGCAGCCCCTGACAACTGCAAGGAATGTCCGTCGATTCTCTCTGAGCTCGAGAAGATCGATGACGAATCAGACGACCACGGTGTGGTTTTCGTGACCACCGACGACACCAAGCTGGCGAAGAAAGCAGCTGGAATAAATAAACTTCCAGCGATCGTTCTCTTCAGAAACGGACAGCCGATGGTCTACAAAGGTGAGCAGCGGAGGGAAGTGACACCTGAATCCCTGGAGGCTGATGACGACGCTCGTGGTCCTCACATGTGTTGTCCATTAACAAACCTCGCGCATGTCTCTTGAGCCTGAGCTCCTGTGTAGTCCACGTCCGAACTAAACAATCCCCGCCGTGTTGTTCTAGGCTGCACTTATTCCGCGTGCCAGGTGCTGCAATGGTTGAGTGTGACTGTTGGTTTCCACCTCACTTCATCCAGCATTGACGAAGAACTGCGAGCATCGTGCAAAAGATCAAACTGCCCGAAGTCGACTGAGCACGGATTCGATAGAACGGAAAACAGCAAACGCCCGATGTCGTCCGGCGAGTCTCCTGGGAAGGACTCCGGAGAAACTGTGAAGTTCAAGAACAGAAACCGTGAAACAACTCGAACTGGCTCCCCGCCCGACAGTCCGCAGTGCGCCTCGAAAGCTTGCGCGAAAACTTGCGACAGCCGAGAGCTGAACCCGCTCAAAGGGAAAAAGATCGGAGTGAAACTGATCCGCAGCTCAAAAACGAATCCCTTAAAGCGACGTGAGTGCATGCGGTGCGCTTCCTACCTGTCATTCTGCCGCGATCTTCCGCGTCTCCTCCGCAACCATGAGCTCACAAATTAGGCTTGTCGACCGAGGATCGCTCAATGAATCAATCAATCGCTCAATCTATCGGTCGACCGATCGACATCGGTCAAGCAAGCGTGAACTGCATTCGAGGCGCCTCAATCCGAATGACAGTCACTCCGGCTTCGCGGCTCTGGGAGGCTTTATTTTCACTTTCCGAATTCTAACAAAGCTTAACTCGCTCAGCGTCCGTCTCGCCGAGTAGACGGCTACCCACGTAAGTAGGCGCCTCTGGAATCTCAGAGTTCTAACCGCAGTTCGGATGCTATAACCAGAATACGTCGCTTTTTCGATCTAGCTCTCTGTTCTTCGTGCTCGTGTGTGCTCAATGGACTCTTGGATGTTCCTCCCGCCTAGAAGCCGATCAGGCTCTGAGAGGCCTGCGAATCCTGCTGATCCATCTAATCCCCCGCTCATCCGCTTTAGGCGATCTCGAAGACGAAGACAGCCTGCTGAAATGGCTGACCAGCGAAGATACGTTGGATATTCCGGATACGATCGAACAGATCAACCAGAAGATGCTCTCGAAGCTCATCGAGAAAAATGATTTCGTTGCCGTACTGTTCAGTGAGTGTGATCCATTGAGAGCGGTATATCGCTATGGACTCATTCCGATTATGAAGTGAGTTAAAGTCATTCGCCTTGAATCTGAGACCGAGTTCCTCCCTAAGCCAAGGACAAATGTCCCCTGTGCGATAAGGTCCTGCTCGAATTGGAGAACATCGATGACGAGGCCGAGGCGATGGACGTCGACTTTGTTCGTGTCAACGACGCGAAAGTCGCGCGAGCTTACGACATAGAAAACTTCCCAGCGGTGATATTTTTCCGTAAAAAATTCCCACAGTACTACACTGGCGATCTGATGGATGAAGACGCGGTGAGCTTCAACAAATTCTCACAAGCGAAAATGTATCCGAGGGGAAAATTCGGAACCGGGAAAAGCACGTCCGGCTGCATAGGTCCGTTCGGGATTTCACCGCTCGTTTTTTCTCCGAACAGGTCCTGGCGTGGATCACACAACAGAAAGAGAAAGGTTCCTTGGACGAGATCGAAGACGTCGACCGTCCCATGCTGGAAATGCTTCTCGATCAAATGGAAGCGGTCGCCGTTGTTTTCTGTGAGTTCTCCCCCGTCAACAAGATTCGGAATCGGTGCTGAGAGGGAACGCTATTCTGACACTTTATCTTGCTTCCCTATATGTACGTCTCCACACGTCTAATGCTGGGCGTGCTCCGCAGACTCGGAGGACTGCAAGAATTGCGACAAGGTTCTCGAAGAGCTTGAGAACATCGACGACGACACAGACAAATACGGCATATATTTCGTGAAAACGGACGACATGGAATACGCGAACGAGCTCGGCGTCTCGGAGACGCCATCACTGGTGTATTTCGAGAATCATTCGCCTAGTATTTACTTTGGTGATCTCGAGAACGAAGAGGCTGTCCTCGAATGGCTCATCAAACAGCGGACAGAAGACACTATCGAGAACATCAATCGAGACATGCTAAGTCGTATGATCGAGGAAACGGATTATCTCGCCGTATTTTTCTGTACGTAACGGGGCAATACTCAATTATCGTTCGTTCCAATCGATCGGGCAGGCCGAGTTCTGCCTCGAGAAGCAACATTTCAACCACCTCTGTACCCCTCTAGACAAGGCTCGCGATGACGAAAGCCAGGAAATTCTCAAGGCTCTCGAGAACATCGACGACGACTGCGCGGACTACGAGGTTCATCTTGTGGCCATGGTCGATAACCTGATGGCCAAGAAATACGGTATCCGCGATCCGCCCGGTCTCGCTTATTTCCGACATGGGAAGCACATCAAGTTCACAGGTGATGGGAGACTCGCTGGAGATCGTACCCGGGGAGAAATTCTCTTCTCCGATCCGAGGGCGTAGCTTCGTATCGGATATGAGACTTTATTATCTCTCAACACTCATATCGACTTCCATCTCCAGGAGATCTGTATGACCCCGAGGAGGTTCTGGAATGGCTCACAAACCCGGAGAACATGGAGATGGACGATGCCATTGAGAGGGTCAACAAAAGAATGTTCGAACGTATGATGGGAAAAGTTGAATCGCTGGCTGTGTTCTTCTGTGAGTACTCTCCTGACTGAGAAGCAGAAGTCTCACGCCGCACCGGTATCACACATCCTCACCGATGCGGCGTCAACTTTCATTAGAAAGCCTAAGAGCGGAATCGGTGTGCCGATTCTCGATTCGCGAGGCCGTGAGGGATCGATCATTTGTTCTTAATAATATCCGAATGCTCGGGGGAGAACATCCATTCCTCCTCCGTAAGATTTATCATCCGCCGCCTGCGAGAACTTGTACGCGGTGTCCGTCGGAAAGTATCCTTGAGCGGATGCACAAATATTCGCAGCGACACGAATACCTCGTAGAGCCACGTCCAGCAGGCTCCATAAACTTCCTAATTTCGAATCAGCCCTGTATATTCGCGAAACAAACGTGAACATGCCGTACTAACATCCTCGAGGAAGTCGAATAGAGGAGATCTCTTCTGCTCAAAGGAACTCCCTAATCAAATCTCCTCCGCTCTTCCACGGCATCCGGATGAATGGGAGAGTCTCAGAGCGACGTGCAGATACGGACGCAGGCGGAGCATCTCCCCGACGGCAGATCTGAGCTCATCCAGCTCCTGGAATGCTTTAGACCAGACGAGATCGCGAACAGATAACTGAGCGCTCTGTGTTGCGAGGGGGGGCGTCGGCTAAAGTCTCTTATCCAAACGTGTGTCGTGCGTCATTTCAAAGTTTGTGGAAGCGAACGTATTTCAAGACGATAAGAGCTGTCACGGACCGAGCGAGCCCGCTGCCCAGCGAGCATCGACAACCGATAACTGAGTCTCCGACCACCCTCTGGTGGCTCTGAGGGGATTGGGGACCACTGAATCAGCCTTGTCGTCGCTCGACTCGATGTTCTGGCCAGCCTACAATTACGGTGCGCCTGAGATATAATCACAGGATTCCGCTTTCTTGGTAGACACTTCGTACTCGAGACTGGAGAGGTGGGGAAGGACAAGACCCTCCACAAAACCGAAACGAACGTAACTTCACGATCGGTGCATAGAGGTCGAGATGGGGCAAAAAAGGAGAATGAGAGAAAAAAGTCCGGGTCGAAGTATTTTGATGATCTCCGACCCGCAATGTTTCCCGACTCAGCTCGTGCGGCCGAACTCCGGTCGAGTATGATCAATCGGGAATTCCCTCAATCTCCGTCGATAGTAGTTATGTTTGAACTCTTCCGCAATGATTTAAAATACTCCTCGAGCAACGTCTGCGAGCGAGCATCCGAATTTTGTGCCCTGGTTTCGAAAGTCTCTCCGAGAGCTCCCCCAACCTGACGACTCTGAGAGCGGGGCGCGGAGAGCAGGATCTGCAACGGGCCGAACCGCATCGCGATTTCCGTTCGCAGGCTGTTATCAGCGGAGGGCACTAAAAACGACTGTCCGCTCTAGTTAACTGCGGAATGGATGATTGAGTAGCTTCTTCGCTCGCTCGCTCGTTCGAACCCCCCCCCCGCCCGGCAGCCCCGTGTCGTCGGTTGCAACTCCGGCTGTTTTCCTGAGTGCACATGTGCAGTTCAAGGTAAGAGGCACAAGCTCCGCGGGGGGAGTCGTTTTTGAACAAGCTCCAACAGAGTTTGTCTGCCTTTGTTTCCACCTGTTATCTTCTATGGGCGGCTCTCGCGCATTTTAAAAAACACCTGCGCGGGGGAGCGACGACGGAAGTGCGCGGAGGGACGAGCGGGCATTAGCTTCAAGGCGTGGGGGGAGGGGGCAGACGCATCCCGGAATGCCTGCCCTCGCATCGATGGCGAGGGTCATAGTGCATAGAGATATGATCTCGTCACAAATGCTGGGAGCTCGAGCGTGATACCTTGTAATTATTGCGGGAGCGGCCACTTATTCTGCGCTTTAATTTCAGATAGCAAAACCACCTGCAAGCAGTGCTCGAGGGTTCTCGAGGAACTCGAGAAGATTGATGACGAAGCAGACGCTCAACAGATCAAAATGGTCAAAATAGATGACCAACAACTGGCGCGGAAGTACGGCGTGTACGCCCTTCCAGCTTTTCTCTTCTTCCGTAAAGACGATCCGTGAGTTTTAATTTGTGCTCTTCTCTCCCGAGTTTTCAAAGCCGCGGTAGTCTGCTCCAGCCGAACGCTGCCTGCCCGACCGCCCTCCCTCCGGTACTTCGGAAGGCTCAAAAGAGATTCCACCCTTGGGAAAACTCGGGAGAAAAAAACCCACGACCGAAGACAAAGCGACGAGGGCGTCGATGATGTCTGATTACTCTGGGGGAGCGAGTTTCCGACTCCGAACCCTAGCGCACATTCCGATTCCTTGTTGGTTGAGAATTTTTCTCGCACCCTGCTCATCGCGGTGCACCATTCGATCTATTCGACATTCAATTTCAATCAGTGCAACAGGGACTAGAGCTGAATGGAAGATTATTGACAGCGAGCCGGGTCGCGAGCGAGGAGAGAGCACTCGCTTGGGCTCCTACGGGGAGTCTGGGGAGCCGACTTGAGTGAGCTGGAAACGGTACGCCTCTAGCTCCCATGCTGTCTTGGTCTCTCTTTCTGTCCTCTCATCCTTACGTCTTGCCTTTTCTAATGGATGTTAATGAATATAGCTGGCCGTTTGTTCGCTAGCCAGCGAGCTAACGGCAGTCTTCCCCGCTGCTTCCATTTAAAGCACACCAGACCGAATCTTTGAGATTTTTCCTCTCTCTGTTCGTCCTCCCGATTCCGATACACTCTGTTCGTGGCCTTCATTTTCGACCGTCACGAGAGCGATCTTCCCACGAGGAGTTCCATTTCACACCGGCCTCTTTTCCGAGACCGTAAGAGGGATTGCCGGCAAAAATGTCATCGTGAGAGGGGAGGGAGAACGGAAGACTAGATAAGAGGGACGAGAGCGTTCAAGTTTTTTCTGCCTGCCGAGTATCGTATCGCGAATGGAACGAGTGCGCCTGGCATGTCGAAGTCTCAGGACAGCTCGCCGTTTATTCGTCCATTTTTTAAGACTGGGCAGCGGGTCTAAGCAGAGCGCTTCGGAGCTTGGCTCCATCAAAAACGATGTCGCCCAAGTCCTACGCAACGAGCACCGCGCTCCTCGTTGACTGTACCCGCTCGGAAGCGCTCCTTCTCTTGCCGACCGGCCGACGATCAGCTGATCGGATGGTCCGCCAGCTTATCGCTTGGCTTGCGTCCGGAACTTCGTCCTCTGTGGTTGTTCTCATGAAAGCCCTTTGTTGTGGTATCCCTATCGAATACGGCAGGGCAGGTAGGGGCAGAAGCAGAATTGACCTCAGCCGATCGTCCCTCCTACCGATGATGATAGTACACTGAGTTCATACACCGCACCGAGTGAGCGTGATGAATAAAAATACCACAGTCATCTGAGTGAGGGACGGTTGGTTTTTATGAAACATTCATTAATTATCTTGGCGAGCCGGAGCTCGAGTGAGCGATATCCGAGATTTGCCTGAACCGTTCGGCTGAATCTGTCTGTTTGTCGCTTCCCCCGTAACTTTTACGGAGGCAGCTCCGCGATCGCCTCATTCGGGTCCCTTCCTTTAGACTCGAGCATCCTCTCACCGTTCCAACTTTCAGCGATCCCGTGATCTACGCCGGGGACTTCAAGACCGGCGAGAACATGCTGGAATGGATGCTGCTGCAGAAGAACCCCGATTCCGAGCGGATCGAGGAAATGGCGGGAGATGAACTGCGGGACGCAATCAAGGAGGAGCCATCAATCGCCTGTTACTTCTGTGAGTCGCTCCGAAGATTTATCTGTGCTCTATTCATGAAGATTCTCCGTTGCAAAGCCAAATGCGCCTAGCGCGCGACTTCTTCGATTCCGATACGTGAACGGACAGCGTGATTGCGTCGCGTCGTTCCGAACTGGTCTGGCTTGTGGCACAAATGGTCAATTAGACGTCTTCTGGGAAATCCTCGGGCTTTGGCTTTGTTGCTTGGTAGCGCCCAAAATGGGTCGAAATGAGTTCGATGGTGTGCGTGGCCATCAAGGGGCCATCATGCCATCGTTGAGGAGAGGAACTCGAGACGAGACCGAATATTCGGAAGAAGGCGAATCACCGTGGAGGATATACCTACACAAATTCTTCCCCCTTCTCCCCATGATCCGTGGGGTGGGACGAAATTCCTCTCAAGCCTGAAATTAGAGGCGTCGCGAGGAGCTAGTGTTGAAATAGTATAAGCGGTCTGAGCAGATGGAGCCGATGTTTAGAAATGCCCCGCAGTGAGGGAATCTAACTAAATTCATTTGGTTCTCTGTGGGCCGGAAGACAACCGAAAATGTCTCAAATGCGATGGCGGTGCCAATGTGGGTAGGTCCCGTCTGTTTCGAGTGACGAGAATACGTAGTTCTTCTCTCTCTTTGTCCATCGATCCCGCGCTGCTGTTGATCGATGACCTCGTGATTGGAAGCCTTGAGTTATTCGTGGAGTGGTTGTCCTGGCTAGCGAATTCTCAGATCGCTTCAGACTAACAAGTTGTTCGACTTTTCCTTCTTATCCGTACTCTTTTTCGCTCAACTTTTTTGCCATTTTCCTCCGACTCGATACTCCAAAGGGTTTTGGGGACACTCCGCCGGCAGGATGACTTCTCCAATTTATTCGATCGTGCTCTTTCTCCCCATCGATCATTTTACTCAGTCAGCGAAGTCAGTCGTGTATGATGCGGAGCGCGACGGAGAACTCTGCAAGATTCCTCCGGAGCCATCGAATCTTTCAGAGGGAACCCCTATTCCCGCTCTTTCCGACTGCTCGTAGCTAATTCATTTCGCTCCAACGTCGGGAAATTAATTTTCACTTAGTACAGGAATTACTCGATTCGCTATCACACCCGCCGTCCGCCACTTGGATCCGGGGCTCCACACAGGCCGTCTTGCCATTTTTCTACGGTGTCTGTGTGGGTGAGCGAGTTCGTTTGCACGACCGTACCACCGCAGCGGAAAGGCGGAATCGTGTGCTCTTCCTTTTTTCATTAGACTCTCCATCGAGGAATCACCTCGATCCCATCCAGGATAGCGAACGCACCGTTACCGTGGTCATTTCTTTGAGTTAAGCCAATCGTTAGAGCATCGGAATTCTTCTCTGAAAACTACCGGCGCGGCTCCATTATTTCTCAAATATCTTGCTGGCTACAATCCCCTCTCATCACCGCCCCATGTCGTACTGTGCGGTGGAGGAACGCCAATAGGATTTCCTTCACGGAGGAGACTTGAACTTTTTCCTTTTGGTCTTATCACATTTAATAAAATTCGTTTCTTCTTCCGGTCTCGACTCGGCCTCTTTTACAAATATGTGTCGTCCTGTCCTCTGCGTGTGCTCATGTTGTTGTCCATGTTGTCTCGATAAGTGATAATTATTTTTCTCTACCGATCGTTTGCGAAAATTTTCGTGGAAGGGCCGATTCCTCGTCTTTTCAGCTTTTGCGGCTCATTTTTAGAGAACAATTCTCTGGCGTAGCTAACCTCGCGGGATCGTCGGGCTCTTTGTGACTTCCGATTTGGGTTCTTTGCATCTGGTACCAGATTCACGCCCATGATCGCCGATGTTTTCAAACCCGACGTTCCTGCAGAAAGTTCGATGGGGAAACAATATTTCTTTGTTCATTTGGAAACCGTTTCTGCTAGATGAGGACAAGGTGGACTGCGAAGAATGCCGGAAAACTCTTGAGGAGCTCGAGAACATCGACGACGATACAGAACGACATGGAATCAAGTTCGTCAAGAGTTGCGACCACACGGTGGCGAAGGAACTCGGGGTGCGACGCTATCCGACGCTCGTATATTTCGAGAATGGATGTCCGAGTATCTACGAAGGTAAATTTCCGAGGCAAACGATCGAGTAGTCGTGAATTATCTTGGCGGAATCCCTCACGGGATCAGCGACCGTCCTCGTCAGTGCTTCGACGGAGGGAGTTCCGGCGACCGTGGAAAAAGCGGACCGCCAAGCTATAGTTTGATTTTTCAACCCACAGGAGATCTGTCTGGAGAAGAGGAGGTGCTCCAATGGCTTATCACGCAAAAAACAGAAGACACGATTGAAACTGTCAACCGTGATATGTTGGAGAAACTCGTCGAGTCGACGCACTACCTCGGAGTATTCTTCTGTAAGCCTATTTCTTTCTCCTCGAGAGAACACCATTGTTTGTGCATACGTACCTATAAACGGCTGTATTCTTGTGTTAACATGGTTTAAGACCTCTCAATCGCGCTGGGAAGATCTGGTTATTTCGTGCCGTTTTCGGAAACATCTCCGAGGATCCCTGAATTCCTCTGGCACCCTTGGAACTTTATGTCTTGTCTCAGTCAATTGAAAATATGATCGGAACCGGAAATCTCCTTCAGAAAACAGCTCTTCAATCCCGAAGACGGTCGATTCTCCCGAGGCATTAAGCCCATACCCGGTTGTACTTATTGGAGCAGCGCCCGTCAGAATGGTTCTACGGAAGGGATGTACTTCAGATATTCATAAAAAGATTCGATTTCCAGATAAGTCTCATTGTCGCGCCTGCGATCAAGCTCTGCTAGAATTGGAGAAGATAGATGATGACACCGATATGTACGGAATACACCTGGTCAAAATCCAAGACGTGGGTCTGGCGAAGCGCTACGGCATCAAGACCTTCCCAGCCCTGATGTACTTCCGCAACGGAAACCCTCTCATTTTCGAAGGTAATATTACTCGAGCCGACAGGCCCGGAGCTTGGGACCCTCCCCGTACCTAGCCGTCGACAGGTCCGGATTCGATCGAATCGGGAGAAAATTTCGCTACCAGAAGGATATCTCCTCGACAGCCAACAGTTTGATCCTGTCCCGCTGTTAACAGTGTCGCAAAAGTCAGGCTGAGTGCGTAAACCTCCGACGGGCAGCATAAAAAGGAGGCCCGGATCGTCCTCTGAGGGGCCAGTGATTTAAGGCCCGCGCAGAAGTGAGACACGGATTTTGACAAGACTTGCGAGAGTGTGAAAAGGGAAAAAGACAGCTGAGTGGGGAACAGCGAGTTATGTTGTTCTGGGCGTTTTATCTTTGTTCTCGTGGACGACGGGTGGGTGGAATTCGCTGTAGTGATCGCACAAGCGAACGAACGAGCGAGTCAGCGATGTGGTCGTTATTCTCCGTTTGCGATTTTCGTCATCAGTATCCGGACGAGGAACCGGCGCGTAGGGAGAAGGGCTACGCCAGCAATGAATTCTATCTGTCTTTGACGGTTGAGAAAACACGATTCCATCTCAGGTGGGGACCGACCGACCGACGGACTCGCCGTCAGTCTTGCGGATAGCCCGGCGCACGGGGTTCTAGTGCTCGAGTTTCGTCGAACATTTTCGAAACGCGGCAGTAAATGGGATGGATCGTACGACTTCAACAAAGGACAGAGAATGAACGAATTCGTTTTTCTTCCCCTCCGCAGGAGATCTCAAGAATGAGGAGCAGGTTCTCGAATGGTTGACAGACGACGACAATCGAGAACTTTCCGACGAAATCGAAGAAGTCAACGAGCGTATGCTGGAACGACTTGTTGAAAACTCACCGTTTCTTGCGGTCCTCTTCAGTAAGTTGCGCGATGCGAATTCTCACATTCTCGGGGCGATTTTTGAACGATCCCGATAATTAAACTATACGTACGGTCCCGGAGCGCTGGCGGCGGGCGATTAAATCTCGCTCCGCGACGCGAGGATAATAATCAATCCATCGAGTGCAGACTCCCGGATGAAAAGACCGACTAGGATGCGTTCGAACGAAAATCGGGGAAAAGACGGAGAACTTCTTTCACTCAAGACAGGCGATAAGGCGGCGGGCTTCGTCGGGGTTGAGGCAAAAGTTGCCTCAGACCTGCATTATTCCTCGAACGTGTACCGTATCAAATCTCTGAGGTCACATTCCGGCCTCGCCCAGGCTACGCGAACTTGGCAGATTGAGAGTCTTGGGAGAAGCTTATTTACTCTTCACAATGTTCTACTCGAGCAGATTTTTGCCGACTCTCACCCGCCCTGTCTCGTGTCTCTGCCTTTCCCTTTTCTTCTCCTTATGGTCCTGATATTGAATTCCTCCCTCTGCTTATCAGGAAGTACCTTTTCAGTCGAAGATGATTGCGACGACTGCGAGCGCTCGCTGAAAGAACTCGAAAATATCGACGACGAGGCCGACGTTTTCGGCATCGACTTCGTCAAAATCAACAGTCTGCAAGCCGCAGCCAAGTACGATATCACCACTTTCCCCACGCTCGCCTATTTCCGCAAAGGGAAGGCCACCGTTTACGATGGTGAGTCGCACTCACGTAGAAAGGGATGATTCCAGCGAGCACATTCCGCACATGCGATCTTCAAAAGTCCAGCTCCCTCGTGAAACAGAAAAGGAGTTCCATGCGGGAAATATTGAGCCAAATAGGCGGTTTCGGATCCGCTACATCTGCAGAGGGACAGCATTTCGAAAAGAATCCCCTCCCCAGGTGATCTCACCAAGGAAGACAAGGTGCTGGGTTGGCTGACCTCGCAGGAGAACATTGAACTCAAAGATGAGATCGAAGAGGTCAACCGAAAAATGCTCGAGAAGCTCCTCGACGAGAACGACTTCGTCGCTGTGTTTTTCTGTGAGTACTCGCCCGATGAGCAGAAAATCGTTGACATTAGGCAACTGCGTCTGCGAGCTGACGCGGTGACGACTTCGCCTCTCGCAGCAGTGGACGTGGACATTCGTGCCCTTGAAGGTCATGGAGTTAATCTATCGGCCGAAGTTTCGGAGTAGCCACGGGAATCCGTGTAATGAAATAGTTTGAGTTTCGCTCCTTTGTCATTGTCTCATTAAGTCTGCTAACTGGCTGGCGACTCACTGAAAGAGCAGAAAGGATGGTAGGCAAGGCTGTTGTAATTAGACGATCTCCTGGGGCCTCCCGTACGTCCCTTTCGTTCGAGCAAGCATAGCCAGACGACTCTGAGTAGGTTCTTTGCCCTGTTGCGTTTTTCGAAGACTGTTTTTTGCATCGTCGTCAACGACCTTCACTCCGCATCCGAAGCTCGTTCAGTTGGCCTCGTCGTTAGGTCGGCGGGTTTTTCCTCTCGATGCTCGCACTTCGGTCACCGTCCCGTCGACGCTGAGCAAGACTCACCAATTAGGTCTGCGACATACTCGCGATCGGCTGCGGTGGAGAGAAGTGACACCGAGCACATCGTCGTTCGGTCCTCGGTCAGGAAGGAAGTTTTTTCTCGCTCCGCTCGTGATCAGCCTAACGTCTTTGTTCGGAAACGGGGACGGGGGCCAGATCATACTCCGTTGAAGAGACCGACTTCTAACGGAGGAGCGATTCCAAAAAAAGCTGAGCATCTTTCCTGGATAAATTCCTCCTCTCTATCCCCAGTCGAGCACAACAACCCAGACTGCGATGCTGTCCTGAAGGAACTCGAACATATCGACGACGAGGCCGAGGAGTTGGACATAATGCTGCTCAAGATCAATGACGTCAAGTACGCGAAAAAGTACGGAATCAACAAAGTACCGGCGATCGTGTACTTGCGGCGGAAATTCCCATCCATTTTCAGAGGTAAGTCCGGGAGTACACCGCCACGCCGGCGCGACTTGACGCAAGGAGCGGGCTTTCAGACAGACGCTATGACGGAGGATCCCGATGCGCCCGCGGAGCTACGGAAGAGATATTGCTGCGCTAGGTCGGGACTCGCCAACTCGTTCCCGTACGGAAATGTGACGAGGTTAATTGTTCGAATAGAAAAATAACCCTGTCTGTCTCTGGCGGCTGGCGCCGAGGAGATAATGGAGCCAAACCTTTGCCCATTGAAGGAGGCCTACCGACGCAAACGGAGCAAGCAAGCAAGGAGGCTAAATTGAGTGGAGAAAATTATCCACGCCTAATTACGAGCACAGCCCGACTGACTGCTTGCTCGCCACCAAGCGAGTACCCGAGCCACCGAACTGAGCATACAGGCAAGCGAGCGGACAGGGAGCAGAGTCGGCTCGCCCGGAGAAGCAACGAGAGGGGGAACGAGCGAATGAAAACCGTTATGCTGCGGAGCTTAACGACGCGTCAGCCCGAGAAGTGCTCTCCAATCGATTCCGATCGAATTTCTCCCCCGCTCGGCCGACTTGAGCTGGCGCTCTTTTTTCCGAGGCGACTTTCCAACTAGGAGGGTAGTCCTTTCCCCAAGGATAGTTGCATCTCCTCACCTTTCTGTTGTCTCTTGACGTAGGGGACCTGATGGACGAAGAACAAGTCTTGGAATGGCTCCGCAGAAATCGGTATCGTCAACCGGAGCTCAACCTCTTCATGTACGCACTAATCATGGTCGCTGTCGGCTTCATCGGCTACACGTTGTTCCTGATCTTCTGCTTGAAAGACGTGAAAGATAAGAGAGAGTGACTCCGAGGTGCGTGAGGTCATGCGGAAGGAACTCTTGCGAGAGGCTCGAGATACGAGGTCGAAAATGAATGCTGAATGGAGGCGACTGAAGAGAACGAATGAAACGCTGCGGAGAATCGAAGCCAGCGGCTCGGAGTATTGCTCAATGAATGACGATTGATTGACTCGCCCACTGACCGTATGTCCCTGATGGCAGCGCGAGCTCCGTGACGAGTTTCCCCGAATTGGAGCATAGGCATACGAAAGTGATGTCGAAATGTTTGGCGAAGACCATGTAAATACAGGAAGGTCTCTCGGTATTGATGGACGATCCGGTGAGAATGTTAATCCACTTCGCAATCGACGCCGGGGAGGTCGTCGCAGTCGTGACAACTGCATGTACCTACCTTCGAGAGAAATATTCTCGTTCCTCGCGCTCACCGCGGTACTGAGAGTCGAAGATCGATGAATAAAGGACTGATACTGTCTTGAAAAATTTGACTCCCCTATCTAAAACAAGGAGGATGAACGTCTTGTAGAACGTGTCATAGTAAATTGATTTATTCGATTCAAAACCTCTTCATCGTCTTCGTCGATGGAGCAATGGTAGTGATTCTTTCACCACGATGAGATTACAATCATATTTGAAGTTTCTCGTGATGATAAGCGCAATAATCAATATTATCACCTCCGTAATCCGTGGTATCATCATTTCCATTCGTATTACAAGATTCATCAGCGATTCCGACTCGACCCCATCATTCTATCGTAGTATCTACCATACGCACTCCAACTTCGTTCGGAATATGCGTGGAACCAGAGACTGTAGACGGAGATTCATCGATGCCAACATCTCTCACCGGCACCGTCCCAGGAAAGCTCTCCGCTCATTCGTGCATGGAAAAATCGATTCCGAAGATCTTCAGTAGTGGCTCTCTCGGAAGGCGGATTCCTCTTTGCCACATATTCATCTGAGCGTGTCTCTAGTTCCGGCATAGCATCCGCTAGTCAAGCATCTTCAATTTGTTCTAAAAGGGTCTCCCCCCGACATAACCGCGCTTCTCTTGGCATTATTTCAACTTGGCATTTTTGGCAGGGCTTACTTTCTATTGAGGTTTGTTTCAGCAGGAATTGGATTTGTTGATTGCATTGGTCGCTCGCTCGCTGGCTCGCAAAACCCGTGACAGGCCAGAAGCTCATCATAAAACGACCAGGCGGCAGTATTTTTCAACGACAGCATTAAACGGCGTCTACCTCGCCGGAAATCAAATAGACTGACAGCCTTCAACTCCGGAGCCGGGGCTGACATGTATACGCGTTCGATTCGGCGTAGCCAGCCCTTCCTCCCCGTGTGGCTGTCTCCTGCATTTCGTCGCTTTTTCTGATCGCTCTCGTGGGGGGCACATCGGACGATGTTGTTCGATCCCAGAGAACAAGAGCAGCGGCCGATGATGCGCGTCAGATCATTGAGAATTCGTGGAATTTCGCTTGAGAAGCATGATCTCTACCGACGCTTCCACCGCCTGGTCTTCTGTCGTTCCAGCTGGTGAACGATCGCATGGCCAACGAAAAGCCCCGCCACGGATCGATTGTAAATGGTGGGGGACATTGACGTCACCGTCGGATTCTCAGGGTTCTCTCACAGATCCCCCGCCCCTCTTGTGGCAGGGAATACTTTGGGCCACCGGAACTCGCAGCGTCGCTTCAGCTGACGAAATATCTCGCTAATAAAAATAATACTCAGCAGCGTATAGTAGATTCGGGTAACCGCGGAACAGGTCTCATTCGAATGTATGCATTCATCGATCGAACACTCTAATCGATGGATCGAGCGATGGACCATGTCGACGATCCTTCCTTAGTCACGAACTCCGATCGTGTTGCGGTCAGGAAGATTGACGTCTGGTCAGCTAACGGGATCGCGATGAATTCCTGTTATCGCTGGAAGTTCTAACAATCGATATTATCCGCTTTTATAGGTCCAAAAACTGTTCACAAGCAATCATAGTCACTTTTCATCGCTCAGTCCGTCATTTACCGTTCAATCAACTAATCGATCAATCAATGGATCAATACTATGCGCATCTGTCAAATATTCCAAGAATCAGTCGCGCCCTTTCCCATAGGCGGACCAAATGACTGGTCGACGCTCACACAAATTGCCGCTCCAATAGACCTCTCAACATGCATTCGAATGAGTCAACTAGGTATCCCATTAATAGCTATATACATAACATGAAGTCGGGTCAATGATACCGACTGGTGTTGGGGACTCATTTTCCGGAGTTCCCATCCGGAAACATACGAACCGCATGGTCATCAATATTGATTTGTGTTGCGTCTCAATAGATGAAGAAATTCATTAGCATTACTATTCTCAATATTATCATTATTGTTATTATCAGTATCGCGATCCTTGTCGCCTACTGGGTGCTCTTGGAAGCTCCTCTTTGAGAAAATTGCGATTGCAATCAGTTTTTCGACTAAGCCCCCTTGCGATCAAAACTAGGTCCGAAGTTCGTCTTAGCGTCGGATTCGCGGGTCGGAATGCAGAGATCGCTTGATTTGAGTCATGTATGTACCTTCTGTATAAAGCAACTGTCAACCGAAATGGATGTATTTGTCTTTCTAGGTTTCCTTTCTCTTCTTCCCTTGCCTCGAAGGAAAGTCTCCGTTCTCCGGATCATGTGCCTTGTGTGTAAGGATCTAGCTGTTCCTTTGGCTGCTGTCAATGGCTGTATGTTTGTATAGGATCGCTTGTTTGTTTGTATGCTTTTTGTCCAGTCAAGGTTTATTTATTGGCGCGGTCTCCTTATGACGTCTCGTCATTCTGTAGGTCAGAAAGCCATGCGATGCTGCTGTTGCTGCTGCTGCTGCATTCGGGTGGTTTGCGGCGGGTATTCGAACCTCGACCTCGGGCTGTCGAGCGCCGTGCCTGAATGGTGCTCGACAACCATTCGGTCGTCAGTTCCTATGACGGAGGCTGCCCTCTCCGTTCAAGTACGTTCAACGCGTAGACGACCACTTTACGTATACGACGTTGGGTGAAGCCTGCGGTTAGTTAGAGCTACTGCAGAAGTTCGTATTCGCAAATTCGCGCTCACAATCGTTGATTGGCGCTGAGGGATTGTTGTGCCAAGACAGTGTTAGAGTCTCTGCTCGTCAGAAGACTCGTCGTCTTATCCCTCGTAGACGCCGTCAAAGCGGGAAATCGGTGTGGTGGCATAAGCCGCGGGCTGTGATCAGCTCTTCTTCAGCGGGGTACTTGAGGCGGATATCAGACGAAGTTAGCCATCCATGTGTGTGTTCAGACTATAGAGCTTCAAAAGCATGAAGTTTTCCTTTACCCCTGTTTTCGTGCGTACTCGTGTGTACTCTTCAATGGAACAATTTCGATGGGAGTCTCCCAACCAAGGCGCGGTTCGCTGCATCCTCCTCGGCGGGTGATCTGCCGTTGACCCGCGACGACCCGCGAAGTTTAACTTCTGTTTGGGAGTTTGGCCGAGCATCGAGGAACGAAGGTTATCTTCATGTCTCTACCTCAAGTCGAGCTTGTTTGTGTCCCGATCGTTTGCTCTGTGTGTGTAAGTGTGTGTGCCTCTCTGTTTGTTTGTGTGTTCGTCTGTCTGGAGGTGTTGCCTCGCAGTGCAGGTAAGCAGGTGGCTGCATGCGGCTTTCGTTGCGGAAGGTGCTCGCTTCGGAGGCTGGGGTCGGTTTTTACTGCTGCTGCGGCAGCGGCTGCTGTTGCTGTCGATGTCACTGCAGGAGGTTGTACAGCTTACACTCGTTCGATAGGGCATCACGTTCAGCGTGGTTGTCTTCCGTTAATTTTCTTCGCAAGGATCGCTGGTAGGCAGAAAAAGTACATCTCGAACATCTGTCGAAATCATATAGAGAAAGAGTCGAGACCGACCGAGGGAATCGGGCTGTAACAAAAGTATCCGAGGGTAGGTAAACCGATGCGCTCATCTGGGGAGTCTCAGGATCAGGTCGTGGGGGACGAGGGATATAGAGGAAAGTAATTCAACGTAATTCCGCAAAGAGTAGGATCGAGACGACGAGAACAGATGGCTTACGGGATAGGAGGAACAAAGCCACGTATACATACCTAGATACGGAGGAACGGGATATCGGAAGCGAGCCGGAAACATCAAGGAATGGGATCGAGAGACAGGGACGCAGAGCGCGGGAAGAACTCGTTAATTCGATCAAAGCAAGACTCCGAAAAGCTCCGATTCACGGACACAAAGCAGGAATAAGGGCAAAGCAAGCGAAAAGCAAAAAAGCAATGCGAACGATAACCAACTCAGTGGACGTCTTTAACAACTGAGTTTAGCTAAAAGATTGGCGGTCTTGGAAATTCGATGGTATTTGAGAAAATTCGATCCATGGATGGGATGAAATTAGTCGAAGGTTTGAGATGATTAACCCTCCTTCTTGCTTTTGTTGTGTTCGCCTTTCTTCTCTTACTATTCGTGTAGGTAAACCTCAACTTAGTTCCGTTCCATTTGATCGTTGATCGATGTAGATGGACCGATGTGCTCTTTCGTACATCGATGGTCCCGAGCGATGGTGCTACATCAAAAAGTTTGGAGCAGAATTCCAACATGGCGAGGACAGAAACGTGGTTCTCTCTGACAGGTTGACAACACAACTCGACGAGGCTACGCGAGATGTAGCCTCAGTCGATTCGGAAGGGGTTCTCCGCTTGAGGCGGATAATCGGAGTTCGGCATTTCTCGGAAGTCTGACAATCAGTTTCACCTACGCCGCGGCACAGCCGGCATTGTTCGAGCTTGTGGCTACCGACGACGAGCTCTCGAGTCTCCGTCGAGGATTTCGCTATCCGTTCAGTCTGGGCCTCTATGATGAGGATGGGGTATCCAATCGGGAGCTTCCACCGCATTTTCCGTCTACATATTTCAATGATCACGAGCTCATCGAGTAGGTATCAAGTTCGCTGGGTCCAGAGAGTCGTAACAAGCTAACACTTATAGTAATACTTATGATGAGGTGTCGGGG